AGAGACCCCCCCCCCCCCCTCATTTTCCCATTTTAAATTTTCATCTACACATCTGGTAGGTCGACAGTCATGTGCATTCAATTTTTTTTTTTGTTATTATTAATTTTTTTCAAGTCCATTTACTGCTTTCTCATTATTCTATTTCAATCAATAGTGTCGGTGTACTCTATTTCATATGCAAATTATGAACTATGCAATAATATTGATTATTGTATTATACAACAAAACATGTTCCTTTTTTTGTCATCTTATATTATACAATATATTAATATGTCACGCACGAACAAGCATTAATTTATCCGGGCGATACAGCTTTTAAATTTGGTGTTTTTCAGTGTCGATTTCGTTAAGAGGCATGAGATAATTTTGGAAGATCTATGTGTAATAAAAAACATATATATCATTTTAATCGAATAAATAATTTTGTAAAGGAAGAAGAAAAGAAAAGTCATATTCCTTTTTACTAATAATATTTATTCCATATTAATTAAAAGTCCATGTACAATACAGAACATCTGAATTCAGTTAAAACATCACATGAAGATTAATCTACTTCAAAAAAAGATAAAAAAAAAGTCTGAAAATTAAAAACATTATCCAAAGTGAAAAAAAAATACAAGTTCAAGATTCTAGAACATTGTAAATAACAACAAAGCATGGCAATATAGCCCTAGGGTTAAACACCAAGAGCTCCTCAAGATTCGAATACACACCACCGTTCACCGCGAGTGAATCATACGCGCCACCACAATTTTCCTCTTCTGCAGCCTGATCCTCGACGACGGGCCGTTTCACTCTCCCGGCGATGACCCGGCAGACAAGCATGGCCCTCTGCCCGGACCCAACATCCCGGACAGAATCGTGGGCCCGACCGCTACTCGCGGTGGTCCGGACCCCGCCGGGACCGAATCCACGGCGGATGAGAGTGCATACCCCGCAACCCGGGATAGCGGAACAGAGAGCAGAGGAGGAGGAGCCAAGGGTGCAGCCGAGGGTGGTGCAGTGGAAGCGGAGGAGCTCGTTGCCGTCGGCAGCGCATCTGGCATCTTTCCTCGGCGTTTGAAGTGCACGCGCCTTCACGGCGTCTCGGCAATCCTCGAACCGTTGGATTGTGCGTTGCGTGTTGTGGACTTTTAGTATCCGTTCGATCTTACACATTGGACTGTCCTTCTTTAACCAGCTTGACTTGAAGATTATCTCAACTATGTTTCTTCCCGAATCCTCGGAACCCAATTCAGATACTGCAGAATTTTTTGAAAATATATTTTTTAGAGGTTGAAAAAGAGAACAGGATCTGGGTTTTATGCAAATTTGCCGAACCGTAAACTGGAATGAAACAGAACATTAAACGGATTCGCCATCTCTGATCTTGAATTACGCTGAAATTAGATTTTAGTTCCTGTGTGGTGGGAGACGAATAAGGAGGTGACACGTAGGATGAAGAAGGACATTGAACGTAGTTAGTGACAGCTGTTTTTATGTACGAACGAAAAACCCTTGGAACACTTGAAGTGTTTAATGTATAATTGACAAAAATATTAGACACGATTATAATAATATTTTTTGTACTTGTGTTCTTTTTTTCTTGTGAATTTAATATGTTAATAAATGATTTTTCAGGTGATGAGATAATTGATAACTACACAAAAGTAAATCATTGTAAAAAAAAAAAATTGGTTTGTGTAGGGCTTATAAAGATATAACTATATGATAATCAGAGCATAGATTATTTCAATTAGATGAAATATCATACCCCGACTAAAACTAAAACCTCAACGTCAAAACAGCAAAAATATTCAGATATTTCACGTTTTGGCATTTTCAATTGATTTTCATTTCAAACACTACAAGTTAAATTAAATTAAATTGAAATAAATTGGACCAACCTGCATGGCGAACTGCTTGATGAATCTCCAAGTTTTCAAGCTTGGGGAAAACTTCTCCACATTGAGAACAAGCACACACCCTAGGCGTTATTGCATACCTGAAATACCAAAAAATAATAATTATTATTACTATCACGTAAATTTTTATATAACCTCGTTATGAAATTATGAGAGAGAGAGAGAGAGACCTGCTAGGGTCAACGATCATGTGGCACTCGTAGCAACCGGAGAGTTTCCGGAACTGCATGCCCCTAAACGACGTCGTCGTCGTTGAAGACGATGACGTGTAACTCTCTCTACCGTTGGATCTCGTTGACCCAGACGTCAGCGACCGAGACGAAGACGACCGGTGATGAGTCGATTTCCGGGTCAGGAGCCGGGATTCCGAGTCATGACTCGGGTTACCGGGTTCGGGCGAGTTGTCGGCTCGGTGAACGACACGTGTGTTGCCATGAGCCACGTCTCTGAAGCTACAAATGGAGCCACAGGAGGAGGTAATGAGCTTGGAGGGGGAGGACGAAGGAGGAGGACACGTGTGCGGTCCGGTTTGAGAGTTCTTGGAGGGGTCGTGGACTCTGGACCCTTCGATCTGTTTGCAGGTTATTAGGTTCTTGAACTGGTCCCATGAAGATGGTGGTTTCTGCGGTTTCTTCTTCTTTTTCTTCTGCGTTTGCTTCTGCGGTTTCTGCGTCTGCGTCTCGCGTTTCTTGCGTTTGGGGGCCGGCGGTTGCTGTTTCTGCGGCTGCGGCGGCTCGGATTTCTCCGGCGGGAAAGTTAGTAAAGCCATGGGAGAAGAAACTCTAAAGAGAGAGAGACTTTCTCTTTTTCGTTTCTTTGGCTTTTTTTTTGGAACAGAAGAGAGGGATCCAAGATGGGTAATAAGGAGGGAAAGGAAAGGGAAGGTGGTGGGGTGTGCCTTTCTTTATTTCTTTATTCACTTAGTGTTTTATATTGTTGAATTTATACAAATTTGTTTTTCCAAGATTTTGGATTATTTTTATTTTGTTTGTTTGTTAGCAAAATCTTCTATACCTAAACTGGTTGGATTTCTTTTTTATTTCATAAATTCATAAGACTTCTAAGCGGGTATGGGTTTGAATCCTAAAATTGTTAAAAAGTTTGATTGAGACCGTCCTTAATATCTGTTACTCGAATAATTTAAGAAAAATAAAATAGAATTTCATAGAAAAAATCAATATTGTGGAATTTATTTATGTAATCTAAGAGACGTAAAACACGTTTTTGTTTGTTCGATTTTCGAATTCATGCATCCTGTATTCAAATGCAAATGTAAATGAAAAAAGAGTTGAAATTCGTTACATTGAAAAAAAGATTTTTGTTTCTCCATGTACAACTTAGTATACTATACTATATAATATAATTTACCGTTCCCAAAAAATATTATTGCAATAAACACTATGGAGTTAGAGATTCGACGACAAGCAATACGTGAAAGCACATGAATCGCAAAACGGCATCGCATTGTACGGCGAATGCGACTAGACTACAAAATCTAACCCATACCTTGTTGCATTTTTTTTATAGAAAAGATTATTAAAAAGTTTCCCTATATATGCAAAATCAAAATTCATGTTTATTGTACGGTCCAAGCATTTGATTTAATAGTTCGAGATAACACGGTGGACAGTGTGTATTTGGAACTGTGATTTGCAGTTTCCAAATTTTATAATTGTCCCAATTTCGGAATTTTCAATCTTATAATTATATGCTAAAAACAAGCTTTGGTTTATACCCACATCCTTGTTTGATCAATACACATATCAAAGTTAATAACTTTCCAAAAGTATATACTATTTTTTTTTGGTGTGGTGTGTTTATAAAATTTTACGTGCAATATTTACACATCAACTTGAAAAATAATGTGTGTAAGAATATTAATGGCAATTAATATTTTAAAAAGTAAAATTAGGGTTGACCGAACGAAGACTAACGAGGAGAGAGAAAGGCTTCTCACCCGCCGCATTCCTTGGATTTGTCCCATTTGTCACTATTTTCACTCTCACAAAATATTCACATAAGATATAAGAAAGTGTTTTATTATAATTATAGGGGTCAAATTATATATATATATATATATATATGCATATATTGCATGAAAACATATGGCAATAAGAGATGTTTAGATGTAAGAGAGAACTAATATTATAAATATTTCAGAATCGTTAAAAGATGGTTATTAGTGTCGTATATTGGTGTCCATCAATAAACTCACATCAACCAAAGAGAGAGATATATATATATTGGGTTTAAAACCGAAAAAATATATTTTTTCCTCGTGTAATTTATATAGATTATAATTATTTTCTGTAATGTCTAGTATCTTATAGCTAATACATAATTTGATAAAGATGTTTGTAATAACTCGAGAGAAAATAATATATATATATATATATATGTATGTATAGTGCATAAATGCAAATTAGAGTTTTCATAAACTTATAATTTGTTGAGCAGGAATAAATTGGATAATGGATTTATATATAATATATATATTAATACATATTTATATTCTAAATATAGAAAATAAGTTTACATTTATGGTTTTATTCAGAAAAGGGAAAAAGATTGAGATTTTTGCTTTGGCCACTTGTGTCCGGTCTAGTGTGTATCACTTGTTTGAATTTCAAAATCAAATTAGAATCTTTCTTGTATACATATTAATACTGTAGATCTTTATGTATTCTAGAGCATGAAAAAATATAAAATTAATTTTATTTTGAAACAGAGAGAGTATTTGAATAATTTAATGTTAATTCGGTGACAAACGAATTTATTCGACTGACAGAAAATTAAAGGTTATTGCATTGGTAGGAACTCTATGACGCACACGTCTGGTCTGCATTGGTCCCTCTCTTCTTCCAATTAATTCTGTTTATAATTTCAAAACTGTAATATTTAATTACATATGACCCATATTGTATAACAGTATACATATGGAACCCATACCAAAATCATATAGAATAGAGTGCATACTATTAATATACACCATGTATACACACACATACACATTAATATATTATTTATTAATCAATTTAAGTTTTCTATTAGATAATAAAGTATTTATTAGATATTTATTTTCTAACATTTTAATCTATGATAGATTTTAGTTTTCATAACATGTGTGAGTTGAGTTTACTTCTAGAACATATAAATTAGAAATTACACAATAGATCAAAATGATAAAAAAAAAATGAATTTAGTTAATTTAGGCCACTTTGATGGTTGCCCTTCATCAATCTCAATCGTGGTGTACACGCGCGCGCATGTATATATACACATCGGACATATATGAAATTAATAGTTGCATTAATTATTTTCTGTGATTTGATTAGAGAGAATTAACATGGAATTAAAGGCTAAAACTAAGATTAAGAATTTGATTTGATTCCTCAGGGAGACATGAAAAGATTCCCCGACCAATTTGATTGATAAACATGTTTAAATAACGACACGTACCAATTGAGATTTTGAAATTTGATGGTAATGGAGGGGAGCCATTTACTAATATATTATATAGTGGCATACAAATAAAAATATTTCCCGCAAAATCTAATTATATATTGTCCAATTTCTATTTTGAATTTCTCCTAAAACATTGTAAAAGAATATTAAAGTAGTATTGATGTCTATAATATGTTTGCAAAATAAAAGTAGACTAATATGAGCGTGTGTATATGTACACATTATATGCGCGGGGAAGATAGTGTAAAATATATTACTTGTATATCTTCCATATGAAAAATGAAATTTTGTTGGTTGTTATGTATGTGCTCTCGATTAGCCCACACCAACAACAATATTTCGGGAGATCATGGGTTCCTTTTATTTTATTTTCCATCGAAATTATTAGAAAATCACTAGAGAATTCAAATAAAAAAAACTTATATTTTTTTGAAAACCCAAATTTTATAATATTTTTATATATTTTTTTTACATAATCATCATCAATAACTATTGTTGAAATATAACTACCACACATGATGGTACTTAGATTAATAATATTAGAATCACATAATCCAAATAGAATTAATATTTATATTTTTTATTTAAATTAATTTATATAAAATTAATAAAAATAGTATTGATTGTATAAATAATCTAAGCGATTTTTTTTTTCCATATAATTAGTTCCGTTATATGCATTTCTGTACGCATACATATAGTATAGATGTAGTTTGTAGTGTAAGAAAATAACATATGAATTGCATAAATAAAAGCAAATTAAACAAAGGAAAGTGGTGAGCCCATGTTGTCTACAACTAAGGGAACCGTGTCAAACCCACATCTAATTATATGATCCCTTTTGGACATTTCAATTAAATTGCATATATTATCTCGCACATTTATTTAGTAACTCTGCCGCATTTAATAATTGTTTTGTCCTATGTCTTGTAAATTAAAATTTAAAAAAACTTATTCGAATTTGAATTATTCTTCTTTGTTCGAGAATCAAATATTCAAAAAAGATCTTTTCAAGTGTAACAGATAACACCGTATATTTAAATAAAAAAAGATACACCGTATTTATTCACATAAAACATATTGCCCATATAACGGACAGACAAAATAAACATAATATGTTCAATTATTTATAGTTAAGTTACATAAAATATGTACTATTTTCATATTATACTCCAATCAGCCATTGAAACGAAGAAGAGAATAATATGGTATGGTGAGATTCTTTACTCATAATATCATTTTTTTTTTCATCATACGGAACTTGTATGATGAATCTTTTTATCTTCTTTTATTGTTGCATTTATTCTCATATATAAATGGCTATTTTTAAGATCAGAAGCAAATTACAAAACAGGGTCAAGTCCTTAGCTTGTAGAGATTATCAACTTAATCAAACAAGGAAGTTTGTTGCATATATATATATAGCTGAATTCACATTGGAACGGAATGGTTGTTGTTAATAACCTTCTAACTTCTAAATCAACACGTTGACACGAGGAATTCTCAAATGGATATTTAGAAGAAAAAAATGTCAGATTAGATGTCAATTTGGTATGTTTTGGTCCACGTAATTATTAAAAATAATCCAACACCTTAGTTCTTATCTTAATGAGGCACGATTTGTCAAAACGTAGACTTTTTAGTTTTTTTTTTCATCCCATTTTCTTGTTACATTCTTTGTCCATGATGGAAAGGTCGGATCGGACCGGTTAAGCTTCTCTCTTCAATTGAAGAGTATTAAACCGAAAACCGGTTGGGAGACTAGCACTGATCAAACCGGTTCATAAGAGTTTGGTTCACTTCAAGTATTGTACAGTCAAATATAACAAACCTAAAAGTCTTGAAGCACCTAAAACATACCTTCCCCTTATTGCCGATACGTATGCAGTTTCCACCATCCATGTCTGAAAATGGCAGATTCAACTGAAACAAAGAAGCCCGAGAAAGTTACATCAAACATTTATATATGCAATGGCAGTAACAAAAGGTTTGACAGTCTGATAGAATTGCCATTTTACCACTTTTCTTTCAGCGTGTTCCAGTTGAACGGGCTTTCCTCAGTCTCCCGCGCGTAACCCTGATTGTTTCTTCCATGATTGACTCTTTGGATGACGGCAGAACGCTTCTTTTATCTGCAGAATTCGATGACGCGGCTACAATCTGCGATGCCTCAGTCTCGGTTGGTGCAGACTCAGCAGGTTTCTCAGGGGGTGATGGAGCATTTTTCACTTTTGGGGTAGTTGAGAGTGAGGGTGAGGGTGAGGGTGGAGGAGTGGCTTTGTTTTGTGAAGGGCTTGGTTTTGTTTCCACGATCTCGGTTTGTTGTTGCTTCTGCCAGGGAGATGAGGTAGGTTTCGGGGATAGAGGCTCTTTGGATAGCAGAGGTTGTGATTTCTTGGAAGGTAGATGGATAGGAGGATTATTAGGAGGTTGGCTCGCTTTAGGAGCCTGTTGTTGAGGAGGTTCCGGTGCTGATGATGCCGGTAGTGTTGGTTGTTTTTTCTGCGGATAGGACAATAAATAAAAACGTCGATAAACAATTACAAATTATTGATCCCCATGTAAAAGTATATGCTGAAAAATTCGATGTCAACAATGCAAATAACAATAATACATAGATGTACAATGATTCTATGGTAGAATTAGATATTATCACGTAGCAAGACTGGACAAATAATAACGGATGTGCCAATAGTTGTTGCCATAGTGGATCATGAGCAAGTTAAGTTACCTGAGACCGAGGTTTGGGTGTTGATTGTTCTGCAATAAACTGCAGGATCTCGAAGAATCTCGTCTGTCCAAAAGTCACTGCTCTTTGACAGTATAACACAACCATATCACCAGCTCTAGTCCTCAACTCAATCAAGTTGCGATCAATTTCATTTTCATGCTTCGCGACATATGGCCTAAAGAAGGAACCATAGATGTATGTAGTGCCCTGAAAGATATAGCAAGTAAAACTACCATTTATATTGAAGGTTGGTCCAATAACAAATCTATATATTTACTTTTTTGCTCGTAAAGGTACGTACTCTGGTCTTCGGGTACCAAAGATATATGAAAAATGCCAACTTGGCCTCGCTGTACATCGGAACCCTGCATGAAAAATCATGTAAGGATACAGAATGAATCTCTTGGTTTGTAAATGCAAAAATCACTAATACCTACCATGAGACAAAAGCATCGCCAACTCTTTCGCAAACCGTCAAAACAGCCACCAATATCCTGAGAGAAGTTTCGAGACGTAGCAAAACTTACTCAAGAAAAGTGAGGCTGAGCTTAGGAAAGGAAACGTGAGATGAGAGAGTCCATCACCTACCAATATTGGCACCAAAACCGAAGCTGTTGAATCTCAGGCTTGTTCTGTTCAACTGTTTTATAGCACTCATAAGCAGGATATGCGTATCCAAAAACCATACTGCCAAACAATAGAAAAAAAGTCATAAAGCTTTAAAGATAAGTCGTATGATTTCAGCAGAAGACAAATCAGAGTCGTCAGTAGCATACGTAAGTCCTCTTGTTAGAAAAGATCCAATCATTTTGTACACCTGAGAAACAACAAGAACAGAATTTTCTGAGTAAGAATCAAGAGTTCAGCAAAAAATCTTCTGAGTGGGATTGGGAATCAAGAGTTTAGAAAAAACTTCTGACTGTCAAGAAGAAGATTGCTTTTCCAGAGTGAAATTTACTGATTGAACAGAACTCCGATCTTCAGTTTTCATGCCATAAAGCTTACTGTCAGTTTAATTAGTATCCACATATGATGAACTAACACCAAAAGGCACCCTAATTTCATGGTTCTGCAATTAGAATCCAGTGTATGAAAATACACTAATTTCAATCAAATACAGGGGGTACTAAACTAAAGATTTGAAAAATCTAGTTCATTAGAAAACTATTGCCGATCATATCATTGCACAATGCTCTTGCTTTCAACAAGGAAAACACGACCACTGTCTGAAACACAGGAACAATCGAACATTCGAGGAAAGAAATTCGCCAATCATATATCACAGATAATGTCGGCGACAAAAAAACGATTCTCCAAAAATCTTACAAACAAACAGAAGGATTAGAAAATGGTGAACAAGATTTGTCCCAAGAGTTACTGGAATCATCATCACAAACAACCTCAGTCCCCGAGTTCAAAATCCTATTCGGAACTATAAATCAAACAAACGAGTAAGCAGCGAAAAAACACTGAAATGCATCAGATACTGAGATAAGAAATGGAATCGCCACTAATTCAGGGTTTAAATCAATCACATTGACATCGAAAATCTCAAACAGAGATGAAGCTGAGAAGTAATCGATACCTCTTTTCTTCAATCCGATAGAAAATAAAAAATCGTTCTTCGACGAAATGAGGGTGATGAGAGCGAAGCAAGATACTGCCAAAGAGATTTCAGCGAGACAGATTCCGGAATCTCGAGTGAATCACCGGCGAACAGATGGAATCTCCGGCGAAATGCGAAGACGAGGACCGTTACGTTCACGGCGGCGAGTGCGAGAGAGAGAGCGCGGACACGGACAAAATAAGGGAGAGATGTTAAAACAGAAAAAATTGAAACAGAAGCGGTATTGTAATTAGTATTTTTCAAAAATTCACTCTTTTTTGAAACATGGCACTCTAGCAAGTCAATAATCACGTGTGGTGTGGAGCATACGAATATTATGATCTTCCACTCGATCTAACATGGACGGTCAAGATCTTTTCTTATTTTAAGGCTGAAGGATAAGTGTACTGTATCTATCCGTACCATATTATTTCTGCTCGTGTCACGGTTCAACTTCAAACTATTTTCCCTTTTTCTTTTTTCTCGACGTGTATTTTCTTTCTTTATTTATTTTTGCTAATTATGTTTGATAATTCAAGGGCTATGAACTTATATATTGCCTCTTTTTAGCTAATAAAATATTAAATTGGGTGGTTAAATATTTATGGAAAATTTTTAATGAAGAAGTTATTCAATCATATGATTATTTAGTCAATATTGGGCTGTGCGATGTGATGAATTATAAACTTATTATTAGAAGACATTTACATAAATAAACAGATTTTATATGAAATGTGAGGTTAGTAACTTGGACGTATAGATTTCTGCGTAAAATCATCAAGGCTAAGCCGCCTACTACATGTTATAGCATGGAACAACTAAAAGTTCATATATATATATATATATATATATATATATATATATATATATATATATATATATATAATACATTTAATTTATTCAGTAAATGTTTTTTATTTATTTATTTTAATTAAAGGACATTAGAGCTTTTGTTTTGTTTTCTATCCATATATATATATGTAACCTTCGTGTTAGGAGTCAGAGTTGTTTTTTACAATCAAAACTTTAATCTAATTTAATTAAAATTATAGTATAAAAAATACTAAATAAAATTGTTTATATATACTTAACGTTCAAAATTTTGATTTAAATATTCAAGAGAACTAGATCTTGATTTAGCGCAATAAAAAGGAAGAAAATGCCAAACTTTGGATAGTTCAATCGGTGAGATAGGATGTAAAATTTCGGTTTCGTCTCGAATTCAAATTTTAAATACGGAGAAGGCGCGTATAACCTAAATGATATGATTGATTTCGATATCAGAATTAGTATAGATTCTGGTTCAGAATATCCGATTTATAAAAAAATAAAATAAAAGGGAAAAGGATAAAAAGATATATATATATATATATATATAGTATGTGCAATGGCATGCTCGTGTCTTTAATTAAGAGAAATGGATCACGTAATAACGTAGTCACGCAACTTCTTCTCCTCTGCCTCTCTCTCTCTCTCTCACGCGTCTGAGTTTATTATATCCTTTCAATTTCCATAATTGACCACTCTAAAATTATAAAATGAAAAAATTCGAAACATATTGTAACTTTAAATAAAATAATAATCGAATAAATGATTCATCTTATTCATTCAAAAATCAAACGATCGGAATTGACTGTCTTCCGGTGAAATGCGTCGACAATAGATTTTTTTTTTTCGAAAAAAATGAAATTCATATAACCATTTTAACCGTATGAAATAGTAACTATCTAATGGTATATGCACATTAATCTCTACAATATTAGAAAATGTCGATTTATCCTTTAAACTCAAATAGATCATTTAATTGATCTAATTCAAGTTCGACTAAACTAAAAATACAAACATTTTATTCTTTTTTCAATATATAATTCCGAATCTACCAACGAAATCGGTTTGGTGCCGGGTTATACTGACTAAACCGAACCGGAAAGGGAATAGAATAAAAGGGGGTAGTGAGATAGAAGGAATTGGCCAAATGCTTTGGATTCGTGTTGTTCATTTTCAGGGGTCCCTTTTTATAAGGTGGGTCGATATATAATGAATGAATATCGTCTGTGAATTATTAAAGCAAAGCATAGTTATAACCATGTCAATGTTTAATGTTCACTTTTTCTATCAAAAATTGGTTGGACCATTATTTTCAACATGATTTGATATATTTGAACAATTTAAAACGTGTAACGTGACAAATTGTTGCATATATATATATATATATATATATATATATATTGTTGTTATTATTATTGATACTATAATGAGTTTAAATAAACAAGGTGGTTGGTTTTAGTTTAGAACTTCAATTCTATAAAGGATATAGTTTCTAATACAAAAAAAAACTCAAATCAAATAGAAAGTAATTAATAATTAATAATAATAATAATAATCATAATAATAATAACATCGTTTGATTGATGAACGTATCCAAAGTTTGTATATTTGAAATTTCTTTAAAATTTCATAGCAAATATTTAAAAGTTACAATTTAACAATTTCCCAAATATTTCGTTACTCTCATAATCATAATGTGCTTTAATTATGTTCATTTAGTGGCATATCGTTTTCAAACTCGCCTTTGATACCGAACCTTACTTGTAACTTGTGAATTTGTTACTATCTGAAAGGATCCTCCAACCGGTTCTTCACTCGGTCTAGTTAGTCATGATGAAAAAAAACCATGTCTTTGAATCAAATTAAACCGGGATTTTGTTTAACCGGAATCAATTTGAGTGGTTTACCAAGTGTGACACGTGGAAGAATCTCAGGGGGTGAGAGAATCTAGTGGCTGAGATCAACCCAAAACCCCACAAACCAAATCTCCAAAACCAAAAACCACTGGTTCTTCTTCACTCCTTGTCATCTTCGCGCGCGCTTCATCGATTTTCATCTTCCTCACTGCAAAATCGAAGAAGCAGAAGGAGAGAAATGCCAGTTTCTTCACCGTCTGCTCCTCGTCTACGGTCTCCGTTCATTCACCGTCCGATCAACTTCACCCCTTCTTCTTCTTCTTCGACTTCTCGTTCGTTTTCGGCGAGGAATCTCCGGTCGCCCGGGACATCTTATCCGCGGATCAGGGCCGTCGACCTCGACCAGAACACGGTTTAATTCTGATTTCTCAAGTTGTGTTTGTGTCATTCTTAGCACGATTTTGGTATTGAATCTGTTTGGTGAAGTGAAAGTAGCGATTCTGAGTTTGTGTATTAGGTAGTCGCGATTTCTGTCGGCTTGGTGAGCGTCGCTATCGGAATCGGAATACCGGTGTTCTACGAGACGCAAATCGACAATGCCGTGAGTCTACAAAATCTCTGTCCATTAGCTTTGAGTTTTCTTGGAAACTTTGTCCTGGAATCTGAGGCCTCAATTTGCATAGATTGTGATTGGATTCAACGTTTTTCTCCAAATTTCGTATACGAATGGGCTTTAGAAATGTTGCCCGTTCCGTGACTGGAACTTCTCTTTTGTGTGATTGGTTCTGAATTGTGTCTAAGTGAGTACATTGGAGTGAAAATGGAGTTGATGCTATTGTTCATTTTGTAGGCTAAGCGAGAGAATACTCAAGCTTGCTTCCCCTGCAATGGTAGCGGAGCCCGTAAGTGAAATTCTCTTTCGTTCCTCATATTTGATGCGTATCAACATGCATATTGTTAGTCGTATCTATCACATATTATGGTTTTCCAAGTTCTCTTAAGATTGGATCAGCAAGAAAAGAATGAGCTTTATACACTAGTTGACATCTGTGAGTTCGAACCCATAACCACAAACAAGTAATCGAAGAGCAAAGTTTCGGAATTTGACCTTGTTTACATCTAATTCATCCCATATACTCTGAATTTCTCTGTGCACCTTATAGATTTGGAATTGTTTATCATTCGAGCTCTCCAGATGCAGTTGTGAAACCTAGCCTTGCTTGCGGGCCAGTGTCGTTAGAACGATCCGAGAGATAGATGTTCGCCCACCAGTACAGGGAACTTTCTGTTAGCTTATTTGCAGTATGGTATCGAGGAAGTTAAGCCATAGTCTTCTTACTCAATTATCAGTGACAAACACCAGCTTCTAATCCTGAATAGGGAAATGAAAAACGGTTTGCACTGCTAATTATGGTTTGCGATTCTCGGAGGAGCAGAGAAATGCAGGTTGTGCATGGGAAGTGGTTCAGTGACTGTAGAGCTCGGTGGAGGCGAGAAGGAAGTCTCCAACTGCATCAACTGCGACGGCGTCGGTTCCTTAACCTGCACCACTTGTCAAGGCTCCGGGATTCAACCTCGGTACCTGGACCGCAGGTAACGGAACATCATCGCGTTATCTAAAGTTTACCATTACGAGCGCAGTTTCTACGTGAATAGTAACTGAAAATCATATTCTCTTCTTGCGCAGGGAGTTCAAAGATGATGATTAAAAACCGATGACTATATGGTATCTTTGCATTGGAGAAAGCTGAAAGGTATGGCTTTTTCCATCTTCCCACGTTGTTCATAGTTCTTCATGTGATGTTGTACCGTACTGTGATCCTTTTGTCTCCTTGAATCACTATTACAATGAGCGTACGGTCCATTTGGTGAATAGGGTTAATGGAGTTAATACTGTTCAATGATCATATCAAGAAGATTTATTGGAAAGTTTATACCTTTCTAGAACAAAGACGGGCGATTTCGTTCGATTTTGTTTGGTGGGTCCGAATTGAAACCAAATGATAACTCCATAGAGGTTTTTGGCAATTTGAGAGATTTGAAAATTGGATTTGAGGAAATTGCTGGTGTTGCCATATTAAATTATAAAAGCAAATATTGATGCCTCAAATACAAACTAAACCGGATTTATAAACTTACATCACTTCAGTTAGGTTCTATATTTGGTTGGATTTGGATATTACATTTTCGGGAATTTTGGACATTGATCATCTTGGGAGATTCGGTTTGGTTTTTATTAAGAGTAGACAATGACAATCAAAGCCAAAATTCAACCACACTATTGTTGTTATTATTACTAATAAAAGAGCTAAATAGATAACATATTTTTTTAGAATATTATTTCTATAAAAAAAAGTACACTTTCTATTCAAATAAAAAAAGTAATACACTGATATTAGTATATCTAAAATATATGAAATCTCGCGATTGGTATATTTAAAGTTCACCACATCCATGGATGGATCCTCCTCGTCTTGCATTGCTTTGCTTCCTCTCTCAGCAAGGGCATTTTCGTAATTTTTAACAAACGCCTTATAAAAAAGGAAAGATCGCGAAACAGATCTGTGTCCCGCGTAGGTACAGGTTTAAGCAGTGTGTCGGTGTCCTCTCTCTCTCCTCTCTCTCTCTCTCTCTCTCTCTCTCTCTGTGATCTTTGCTTGTTCTTTCTCTCATCTTCAGATCTTCGCCACGCCGAATCTTCTGGTTACTATCCGAAATCTCGGAAACTCTAGATCTCTTCGCCGCCGAATGCACCTCCATTGAACTCGGAATCTCTCTCTCTCTCACTCACTTCGCCGGAGAAAATGGGCGAGAAATCGCAGTCGAGAGGATGGTGCGGGTGGTTCATCGCTTTGGTCGTGTTGGCCGTTGTTGTTGTGGCCGTCGTCTTCACGATCAGGGCGAAGACAGGGCACTCCGACGACGGCGGAGATGGTCCGGTGCCGGGACCTCCCGGCGCCATTGATAAGAAGTACTCAGATGCTCTCAAGATCGCAATGCAGTTCTTCGATATCCAGAAATGTAATATATTTATTCGCTTCCACAGAAATCTGTTCTATTTTTGTCTCTTCGCTTGTCAAACCTTCGCGATGGCGTCACACTGATGCATTTCCCAGAATCTTTTTTTTTTTTTTGGTTTAACATTTCCCAGAATCTCTGTATTATGATTGTCCTTATCGCGTTTGATTGATTATCTTTTGGAAGTTTCGGATTTGAGGCATGTCGGTCTGATTCTTCCTTCCATTTTGAGGTTCTTGAGCTACGGATTTGGTGTTCTGATTTTGGTTCCAAGTCAGTGTTCGAAGTGCATTGTCACACGTAGAAATATCTGACGAATTTCTTATTGATTTCTTGTGAAATTGATTCGATTTGTCTTTTTTATAGTGTTTGGAGCCTAACGATGTGAAGAGGGTTTCATGTATTGTTTCCCTATTTGGCTCAAATGTTCAAACTTTTGTCTGAATTCGTATCATTTCTTGGTTTCTAGTACTGTTCCTCATTTCTTGGTGTTTGATGTTCGATTCTTTCATATGTTGTCAATGCAGCTGGTAAACTGGAAAACAATAAGATACCTTGGAGAGGAGATTCGGGTCTTAAGGACGGAAATGAAGTGAATCTCGATCTTTCCAAGGGATTATACGATGCTGGTGACCATATGAAGTTTGGTTTCCCGATGGCTTTCACCGCCACAGTTCTGTCATGGTCGATCCTCGAGTATGGTGATCAAATGGAAGCGGTGAACCAGTTGAAACCCGCGAAAGATTCGCTCAAGTGGATCACCGATTTCCTCATCAATGCTCACCCTTCTGAGAATGTGCTCTATATCCAGGTGAATGATGTGATCATGTCAAGTGGTTTCTGCTTGGCAAGTAAATTAGGAATCAAACGTACCGTTTGTGTGATAGATTGATTAACCTTGGTTTGAATCATGTACTGAATCTCGGAATCACAAATCCACGACCCAAATGCTTACTCTCAAAGAATCCGGTCTATCTTCTCTACCTGTCGATTTTCTTCTGCCCTTGGGACATAGAACATAATGGGTGTCTGGAAGAGACAACCTCTTCAATGGTTGTGTCCCTCCCAAGAGGCAAACCCAAGTGACATGATCTTTCAGGGTGATGAACACTTTCACAAGCTATGCCTGAGATCCTCACATCATGTAAATATGTAGCTTGGATCCATACGAGTATGGTTTGAGCTGTTAACAGTCAACTCTCTGACTATTCAGAATTGAATCATGTGATCTTGCTTCTGAATTACTTATTGTTTTATGATGAATGTCTGATACAGGTGGGTGATCCGAGTGTAGATCACAAATGTTGGGACAGGCCAGAGACCATGACGGGGAAGAGACCGCTCACAAAGATCGATACCGAGACTCCGGGGACAGAGGTTGCTGCAGAAACTGCCGCGGCAATGGCTTCAGCGTCTTTAGTTTTCAAGGACAATGACCCGCAATACTCGAGCACACTTCTGAAGCATTCAAAGCAGCTGTTCGATTTCGCAGACAAATACCAAAGTTCTTACAGCGTCAATATACCCGAGGTTCAGACGTTTTACAACTCGACAGGGTACGGCGATGAACTCTTGTGGGCAGCTAGCTGGTTGTACCACGCGACCGAGGACAAAACTTACCTCGATTACGTGTCTGAAAAGGGAAATGATTTCGGTAACTTTGGTAACCCGACATGGTTCAGTTGGGACAACAAGCTTGCGGGAACACAGGTATGATAAAATACCCAAATCTCAGTGACTAGTTTAGCTTTAACTCCTCATGCCTGCATAATACGAACACGACGGGTGCACATGGATAGCGTATCAGAGATTTTCAGGGTACCCGAACCTGAATGTCTCGGGTTACTGTCTTATCGTAGTCGTGCAGTTGGGTATCCAACAATTTCTCGTGTCTCATCTCTCCGGTATTCGAAATTCGGGGTTGTTTTCTAGCCCTATAAACGTCCTCGTGGATAGGAAAATTTTTCACAATTAATCAAGAATTAACGTACCTATGCTACCGTTGCAGATACTGTTGTCGAGGTTAAGCTTCTTCAAAAAGGGGTTATCGGGAAGCAATGGCCTTAAAGGATACAAGGAAACAGCCGAGGCTGTCATGTGTGGGCTTCTGCCCAACTCCCCGACAGCCACATCCAGTCGAACCCATGGTAACTCCCCCATTAAAGTAGAAAGCTACAAAAAAGATATCAAAGTCGGTTTCTGATCGTTTTTCATCGTCTTTAATATAGGCGGTCTTATATGGGTCAGCGAGTGGAACTCGCTACAACACCCTGTTTCCTCGGCGTTTTTAGCCACTCTTTACAGCGACTACATGCTCACATCCCGGATCGGGAAACTATCTTGCAGCGGGAAAACCTTCCGAGCTTCGGATTTGAGAAAATTCGCCAAATCGCAGGTTACACACAATCTCCAATCTTGAACTCGTAGCTCTTAGACCAGACATAAGGCTTAATCTCATGTTATGCACTTCAGGCTGATTACATGTTGGGGAAAAACCCGACGGGGATGAGCTTCCTCGTGGGTTTCGGGGAGAAATACCCAAAAAACATTCACCACAGAGGAGCGTCGATCCCAGCAGACGCCACAACGGGGTGCAAGGATGGATTCAAGTGGCTTACCTCGGAGGATCCAAACCCGAATATAGCGTATGGGGCACTCGTAGGAGGGCCGTTCTTGAATGAGACTTTCGTGGATTCACGGAACAACTCGATGCAAAACGAGCCGAGCACATATAACAGCGCCCTCGTGGTCGGGCTCTTATCGAGTTTGGTCACTACTTCTTCCGCACTAGAGTCCTTGAAGTGAGGTAGTACTACCCTTAGAATCACCCCATGGCTACGTTGTATGTCTAGGTTTGTAAACCAACGTAACGTTTGTATTGTTGTTTGTGTAGTTGTGTGATTTTTGCCGTACACGTTATGGAATTACAAAATGCTTCATGTCCACAAGAAATTTATTATACATAAAGTTTGAAATTCGTCCCTTTCCATAATATATATATTTAATGAAAAAGTAACAATTATACCATATTCTTTACGGAAATAAATATTTGAATCAATCAAAGTCAAATTCAAATCAAATAAATATAAAAAATAAATGAATATAATTTTTCTAAAATCGAAAATAACCTAATCGAAGCATCAAAATACCCACCATGTGCTTGTTTTCTACCTCCTAAATCTACCAATGAGACAGCTAACTACGTATACAAGAGCTTCAGCATCTTATAAGGATTAATTAGCCCCTTTGCTATATGCTATATATGTTATAACTATACTAATAATCTCGACAACACCTGAAAAAACAAATTAAGCGAAAGCAGATGGCAGAAAAACTGCAAGAACTCCCATATGTACTGATGGAACAAACATTGTACATTACAATTATATCAAATTGCAAAAAATCATATTATTGCACAGAAGGAATATTACGATGGAACATATGATCAGAAAATTTACTAGTTCTAATCGGGATGCAGATTCCAAAGCATGATAATGATAGATCTCGCTCGATTGATACCTTGTTTCAGTCGGCTCTAGACTGGCCAGCTCGAGAAGAGAGGATTATACCGACAATAAGTCCATACAGAGCAAGTGCCTCCGCGAAGATGAGAATCAGAATCATTCCCACAAACAGCTTCGGTTGCTGGGCATTTGCTCTATTATAAGAAAACAAGACCGGAGATTAGGATTCACTCAGTAAACTCAATCAGTTTGGGATGTGACTAAAAAGCAAAGAGAGACAAACAATGGCAGAACACAAAGAGCCAGTGGCTGGACATGGGCTTAGAAACGGTTGGTCATCCGATTTGCAGTTCTAAATTCAGCTTCAATTGCTCACAGCTCTATATCAACAATTCACCATTTTCAAGCATCGTTAGGCTGATACATTTGCCCGTAAGATAAACAGGTAAAAGCTGTCATGACCTAGAGCGCGAACCAAAAACTCGTTTCCCCGGACTGCCGGACCGAATACGCTTAAATTTTGTCTATGATTCATTCTTCTTTTCGATTTCACCACAGGAACTGAACTACAAGTTTTATAGTTCTACTTAAACAGCAAAGTTATGATCTAAAAACTGCAAATCCAGTTACCAGGCGACTAACATAGCTTCTAATTTACCGTACCCATGAGTTAAATGACGACGAAGGAATGAGATTCCGAATCAAATCATTATTTGAACCAGTGAAGGCTAAATCGTATAGTGGAACACAGGCGGATGAGATGCATTACCTAACACCGGCATCGCCGACGATTCCGATAGCCATACCGGCAGAGAGACCGGCGAGGCCACAAGCGAGACCGGAGGAGAGGTGCGCGTAGCCATCGAAGAGGTAATAAGACTTGGCCTTAGGGTTAATTCCTGTACTGATTATGACGGCGATGATCAGACCATAAATACCCAAAACACCGGCCATGACCACCGGAACAATGGACTTCATCACCAGCTCCGGCCTCATCACCCCCATCGACGCCACTCCGACGCCACTCTTCGCCGTCCCGTATGCCGCTCCCATACCTGAAACATCAACTCGAAATCGAATCAAACTTGAGATCCACGCGAAACGAATCACATAAGAAAAAATTCAAATCGGAGATCCAATAAAAGATAAACCGAATCGAATCAATTTGGAGATTTAACAAGAACAAACGATTCGAATCGGAGATCAAAAGGGGATCTTACAGGAGAATACGAGCGCGGCGGCGGCGCCGAGGAAGCCGAAGAAAGGAGCGGTTTCATCGCCGCTAAAACCTGAAGCCATTGTTGTTGCTCTTCTTCTGTATGGTTGTGGCGACGATGAGATCTGAAGCGGAGAGACGATCTGAGGATATGATAAAAATTCAATGATATATGATAGATCAGACGATTAGTAATCCTGAAATAAAATGCTTTCTAGCTAAACCGTATCAAGAACCGGTCGACTGCAAATTAAACCGAAACATGGTTTTTGGCTGAACCGGTTCGGTCTGGTCTGGTTTTGTCCAACATAGCTTTTACGAGCCCAAAAACAAGGCCCGAGTTTGGCCCACTATGCTACTCATCCATAAGAAAAAAAAAAAAAAGCGGAGAAACATTTTTTTGTCTGTTATATCAACTATTTGAAATTTTATATAAATATATCACCTTTTCAAAATGTTTTCAAATTCTCACTGGAACAATGATAACATTAAACTATAGAATTTCTATCGAAACTTTTAGATATTCGGTTATTGTTAATTATTATTTATTTTCTAAATGTAGATATTTAAGCTATCATTTGATGTTTTTATGATTGAAAATTCGGCAATATTTTAAAAAAATCATATATTTCCTAGGAAATCTTAAAAAGTTCAATGAATTTTGTGGAAAAAAAAGTTTGAACTATATAACTTGAGAAATACTTTAGGCAGTTCCAATAAAACCGTGGATCGCTAACATGTTTTCATTACTCGACATCCCAAATCAGTTGTAATTGCCTCCATGTTTAATAATACAATGTGTGTATATAAATATATATATATATATATATAACGATTTTCCTTGAGAAAACTGAAATAAAAAGTACAATTGAACGGCGGACATTAGACGTCACGCATCTGATATCAAACAACAAACACGTGTCCTGATTCAAGGGTATATTCGGTATTTAGGTTCATCCAACTTGGAAACTACAAGTGATCAATGTGAGCAAAATAGAAAAACAATATAAAATACAATGAAAACAAAAATAATAATTTATAAAGAACAGATAAATAAGGGAAAAAGTAGGCAACACATAAATAAGAAAGAAAATAAATAAAATAATCACAAATATAAACAATGTACATGTATATATAGAATATACATGTATTGAATGTAATACTTTGACAGATATACGGAATAAAAATAAATAAAAACAATATATATGCAAACAAACACAATATATATATATATATGCATATATATTAAAATGAAAAGAAACATATATAGAAAGAAATCGGCAAAAAAAGATACAGAATCTATATTAGAAGGAAGAAAACAAGATAAGGAGAAAAATAAAGGAGGAAGACAAATTTGAGAAAGATGGTGGGGAAAGAATGAGGTCAATATATATATATATATATATATATATATATATATAGAGAGATAGATAGATAGATAGATAGATAGATATGTCGGGGGAGTTTTTGTTGGCACTTGGAAACTACAAGTGATCAATGTGAGCAAAATAGAAAAACAATATAAAATACAATGAAAACAAAAATAATAATTTATAAAGAACAGATAAATAAGGGAAAAAGTAGGCAACACATAAATAAGAAAGAAAATAAATAAAATAATCACAAATATAAACAATGTACATGTATATATAGAATATACATGTATTGAATGTAATACTTTGACAGATATACGGAATAAAAATAAATAAAAACAATATATATGCAAACAAACACAATATATATATATATATGCATATATATTAAAATGAAAAGAAACATATATAGAAAGAAATCGGCAAAAAAAGATACAGAATCTATATTAGAAGGAAGAAAACAAGATAAGGAGAAAAATAAAGGAGGAAGACAAATTTGAGAAAGATGGTGGGGAAAGAATGAGGTCAATATATATATATATATATATATATATATATATATAGAGAGATAGATAGATAGATAGATAGATAGATATGTCGGGAGAGTTCTTGTTGGCATTTAAAATAAAAAATAATACAGATGAAAATAGCTTTTATTTTTTGACAGATTTTCCAAAATAAGTTTTTCTTTTAACACATTTAGCAAGGGACCCCTTATACGTTTCCTTTCTGTGTTTACATGTTTCATGAAACAGGATAAATAATATTTTATATATATATATGCGCACAATGATAATTAATTATTATCAGATTATAGTATATAATGATACAACATATAGTCTCTATATAAGTAGAACTCCTCTTAACAAACATCTTCACCACACATGCACGAAATCTCACAAAGCAACTCGTGAAGTGCGTAAAAAAGCATTATCAACATGGCACGAGCATTCACGTTATCGGAAAAATCTGTTTTCCCCCTCTCCTTCTTCTTATTCTCTTCGACTCTTCAACTCCTCCTGAAATGCCACGTGGCATCTGCCATGGCCGCCGGAGAGGGATGGTGGCAGCTCCTCCACGGAAGCGTCGGGATCTCGGCCATGCACATGCAGCTCCTCCACAACGACCGTGTCATCATGTACGACCGTACGGAGTTCGGCCCCTCCAACGTCGCCTTGCCCGGCGGAAAATGTATCGGCAATGCGGCCGATTGTACGGCTCACTCCATCGAGTATGACGTCATATCCAACGGGTTCCGTCCACTCACCGTTCAGTCCAACATCTGGTGCTCCTCCGGCTACGTCACGCCGGACGGGACGTTGGTTCAGACCGGGGGGTTCTGGACTGGTGAGAGACGAGTCAGGTTGTTCACTCCTTGCAAGAATAACATATGTGATTGGAAAGAGGTCGATAATGGTTTGGCCTGTAAGCGATGGTACGCGACCAATCACATTCTGCCAGATGGCTCGCAGATCATCCTCGGCGGTCGCGATCAGTTCAACTTCGAGTTTTTCCCCAAAACCAAATACCCGAATGCGTACAACTTACCGTTCTTGGCGGAGACCAAAGATTTTGGGACCGAGAACAATCTATACCCTTTTGTTTTCCTCAACGTTGATGGAAACCTATTCGTATTCGCCAATAACCGAGCCATTCTGCTCGACTATAGTAAGAACACGGTGGTCAAGACCTACCCGACAATCCCGGGCGGCGACCCACGATCGTACCCGAGCACCGGCTCTGCGGTTCTACTGCCATTGAAGAACCTAGAAGCCATTAACGTTGAGGCCGAGGTTCTGGTGTGCGGCGGTGCACCGAGAGGATCCTATGAACAAGCCATGAAGAACAATTTCGTGAAAGCACTCGACACGTGCGCAAGAATCAAGATTACGGATCCGAACCCGCAGTGGGCGATTGAGACGATGCCTCAGGCGAGAGTCATGGGGGATATGATCATTCTTCCCAACGGAGATGTTCTGATCATCAATGGCGGCGCGTCAGGAACCGCTGCATGGGAGCTTGGCCGTGACCCGGTCTTAGCTCCGGATCTTTACCGTCCTGATAACCCGGTCGGATCGAGATTCAAAACGCAAAACCCTACCACCATCCCGAGAATGTATCACTCCAGTACTGTTCTTCTCCGAGATGGGAGAGTTCTTGTCGGAGGAAGCAACCCGCACGCCTACTATAACTTCACCGGCGTTCTATTTCCGACAGAGCTAAGCCTAGAGGCTTTCTCGCCGTCGTATCTCGGGAAAGAGAAACCTTGCATCAAGTACAACACGACAATAAAGCTGGTTTTCGCCGTGTCTGGTGAGGTCAAGATCCCGGTGAAGGTGACAATGGTTCTTCCGTCTTTCACGACCCATTCCTTCTCCATGAATCAGAGGCTTTTGGTTTTGGACAACATCGAATTCTATAGAAAAGGAAACACGACGACGTATAATGTTGTGGTGAAAACGCCGGGATCGTCCAATATAGCGCCACCAGGTTATTACATGATGTTCGTCGTGAATCAAGACATTCCAAGCAAGGGCATTTGGGTGCAACTGCAATAATTGTTGCATTTTTCTTGCTTGTTTTTTGTTTTCCATTTTTTTATTATCTTCTCATTGTTTTGAGATCATTTATTTGATTGGTTTTGCGTAAGTAATTAACTAATAAAAAAATAAAAACAAAAATTTATGTAATAAGATTCATCTTCAAGCTTGGTTATGTAAGGAGTGAATTTGGTTCGATTTCGGTTCATTTATTTGACTCTAGAAAAATTGTATCATTTGTTTATTATATTCCATTCGATTCAATTTAGGGGTAGGCAAAAATACCCGGAAATCGAGTATCCGTCTTGACCCAATGGTCGGATACACGAAAATCGGGTACCGTTGTACTATGAGATAGAGATCGGGTTTTAAAATATCTAAAACCCGAAATTCGAGTTCGGGTTCAGGTTTACACTTTCGGGTCGGATAATTACCCGTGGGTACTCGAATAATAAAAAATAAATAGTATTTATTTAAAATTTCAAAAAATAATAAAAATATATATCAGATATCTTGAATTTATATATATATATATAAACTATTATTTTAAAATCTAATCATTTTAAATATACATATTTTTAATATTTTTTATTAATTTTATGAATTATTTGTATAAAATCTATATATTTATAATTTATTTTAAAAAAATAAAAAAAATTTCGGGTTCAGATATATGCGGGTACCCGAAAATTACCTCATGGGACACTTCGGGTACTCAAAAACTGGGGCTCGAATTCGAGTTTTAAAATGTATTATCCTTGGGGTTTGGATTCGGATTCGGGTTTGGATTCAGATACCCTAAAAATCTCGGATACCCGACCCATGCCCACTCCTAATTCAATTTGTTTTTCGATTTAAATTTTTTATGTAAGGGAAAATATTTATTTTCTTTGAACAATTTTTTTTCTCTAGTTTTTTAATATTCTATTTGTTCCGGATTAATTTGATTTTCTAAATACATAACCGTTTATGATTTCTTGACAGTTCAATTCAAAAACGATACTAGTTTTTTCGGTTTAGTTCTTCACCAACTTCTCAATTTTTATAACTTTCTTTATTTTATAATCACTAGAGCTTTGATACCGACCGAAGACCAAAATTAATTTTCATCGTATAGGATATAAAAAACAACATAAAATAAAAACACACATATATCAAAATAAATACAATGAGGAGGATAAATTAAAAAATATATACGTGATTTACGTGGAAGGGTGTTGTTCTCTGGATCCCATTCACGGTTCGAATCCAGCTGTTGGGGAGAGAAGGGATGTTTTCTCGATTGAAAGGTTGTTGCTCTAGGTCCCTGTCGTTGGACTTCTAAATGTTGCTCCCGGACCTAGAGAATGTAGATTGGGTCGGAAGTTCCTAGTAAACTTCTTGATTAACAAAAAATACAACAATGTCAATTATAAAAAAAGTGGTCCCTCCAATAAGATTTATTAATACAAGAAAAATTTTCAAACTTTAACCTTGTTTCCTTTTTTGAGACTCTCTCACAATTTTAGGTGAATATAAATAAGAAAATTAAAAAATACTTTTAGGTTCCTTTAGACTATTTCTTTGCCGTTTAGTGTCATCGACTCAAAAAACGAACGAAAATTAGTATAAATGTATAAGGTCATGGTTCTCTCCAATCGAAAATCCCAAATTTATAACAAAAAATTTACTCCACTTTTTAATTTTTTTTACCATTTCTATTTCTTTTATTTCAATGATGATGTTTTTTTCCTTTTACCTATGGTTGTAGTTCTATTTATCCCTTTTTTTTGAATTTGAGATAGAGAAAAAAATAAAAAGATAGAGAAAGGATGAGAAAAATAAAATAAATAATAATATAAATAAATATATTTAAAATAGTCCAATATTTGGCAAAAAAAAAACTGGGTTACGAAATCTGAATTTTTTTTTCTGTACTTTTCTTTTAATTTGGATACATTTTTAAAATCCTTTAAAAAATGTAAAATTAGCAATGGGAAAAACCGAGTCAACATGCAACTCCCTTATGAATCGAATGTTCCCCGGTCAACGACGGTTCAATAATTTAGATTTGGTGAAAGATGTATTAGGACATTTTGATAATCATAATCACAAAATTAATAAGTCAACATGCATTGCGTTCATGTATAATATACCATGCATGTTACAACAAATACACACACATATATACACACATACTTACATTTATATAATATACCATGCATGGAACTTCGAATTAATTATAAACGGCGTGTTAATAACTGACGAGTAATATTTCAATGGGCAGACATAACAAATTGTCAATACATATAATATATCTTACGAGTCTTCTCATGTCTGCCTGATATTCAAATCTTATAATTGAGATTTATTTATAATTATAACGCCGACTTCTGTATAATTGAAAAGATTTTTTTTTTTGGCACTATAAAATGCGCCTATTTAACTAGTCAATATTACAGGGTTATTGTAATTAAGCATACAACGAATATGGTAATATTTTTAAATCCTGTCTTTTAATATGTTAATCGTATGATTGTGAAGGAGAATAAAAAACTAACAAAAACTTCATATTTAAAAAAAAAATAGAAAGTCGGGATTCCATTAAAAAAAAATGGCTGCACATATATATATATAAGGGATTGTTGTTATCTGTGCCCTTTTCACTAGTACAAAACCAGCTGATGGGAAGTGAGGGGTAGGGTCTTGCTCTCTATACAGTTATTCTAAAGCCTGATTTCGGGTTTGAGAGATATAGTTGCAAGTAAAAGGCATAGCATCTTAAATCTCATTGCAAAAGGCAATGCAATTTTGTAACAAAAATTGTAATGCATTTTGCTAATTTCTTCTAATATATGCATCCCACTATTTAGTTTTTTTTTTGTTCGGATGCAATTTTTAGTTGCTATTTTTCACCATTTTATATTTTAGTACATTTTTTTTTTGTAAAAAAAAACACGGGTAATCGGTATTTTACACACACACACGCACACTATATATTGAGCCAATATCGATTCAAATAAAAAATAATAATCATGATTAATTTATTTGCAAAAGAATGCATCTTGTAGCATAATTGTGCCAACCAAGCAGAATAATATCTTTCCGTATCTACTTTTTATATAAACCTCCGTTACGTACCGTTGGAAAATTATATACTACCGTAACATATGAATGTTTCATGCATTTAATCTATAAGTCTATCTAATTATTTATTCATTATTGCAAAAAACACTAACGAATTAAGATGCAACGTACACTCACACGTTTTAGGACAAAAAAAAAATACATTTGACTTTGCATGAAATCATTCTGATGTTTGATGTTGGCACAACAAAATGCATCAGTCCCTTTTCTGTCTGATGGACAAATAATCGTCAAGCAGCTGACATATAGAAAAACTTTAATAAAATAGTGTGAAATCCATTTATAGAAATACATAGGTTTTCAAAATAACAATTGAAAATTGTGAATACCCATAAGAAAACATAGAAATTCAAACTCTTTATGAGATATAGTTTTGATATGATCTAATTTATGGGGGGGGGGTTTTTTAATCAAATTAAATTGAACTAAACCAATCTAAACCGGTATCACGCTAGGTTTCTGAAGTAAAACATAAAATATGTAAATTTTGTGTATGTCAAGAATGTTGAATGAATTGTAATCTTATCTATGTTAATGTCGCGGAATTATGCCTGCAAAAAAAAAAAAAAAGTAAGTACCCCGTTTACAAAAAAATTATTTAAAAAATTCAAGAAACATTCATGCTAAAGAAAATATACTATATAACTATATATGCAAATCAAATATATTCTCCCGTTTCTTCAAACATTATAAGAAAATAATTACAGTTATTATACATATATATTGGACAAACACAGCTCTGCAATTCTAACAAGTATTATTAATATTGAAAATAATAATTATCAGAATGATAATTGTAATCTTCAACTAGTATATAAGAAGAGGTCCAAATCACATGTACACCACACAAAACAACATAGAAAAAAAAAATTTACAAAAATTTTAAAAATGGCACGAGTGACATTCTCTGTTCTTCAATCTTGTCTCTCCTTTCTCTTATTCTCTTCCTTTCTCCAACTCCTCCTGACATGCCACGTGGCAACCGCAGCCGGCGGAGGACGGTGGCAGCTCCTCCTACGAAGTGTCGGGATCTCGGCCATGCACATGCAGCTCCTCCGCAACGACCGTGTCATCATGTTCGACCGTACGGACTTCGGTCCCTCCAACATCTCCTTGCCTGGCGGTAACTGCCGGAGTAATCCAAACGACCGCGTTTCGAAGGTCGATTGTACGGCTCACTCCGTCGAGTTTGACGTCATCTCCAACGGGATCCGTCCACTCACCGTTCAGTCCAACACCTGGTGTTCTTCCGGGTCCGTCATGCCAGACGGGACGTTGGTTCAAACCGGAGGTGACTTGGACGGAGAGAGACGAGCCAGGCTGTTCTCCCCTTGCTTTTCCAACGACTGTGACTGGAAGGAGCTCGAGAACGGCTTGGCCCTTCGGCGATGGTATGCGTCCAATCATATTCTGCCAGATGGCTCACAGATCATCGTTGGTGGTCGTGGCCAGTTCAACTTCGAGTTTTACCCTAAAACCAAAGATCCGAATGTGTACAATTTACCCTTCTTGGCCCAGACCAATGATCGAGGAAGCGAGAATAATCTATACCCTTTTGTGTTTCTCAACGTTGATGGAAACCTATTCGTCTTCGCCAACAATCGAGCTATTCTTCTTGATTATAATAAGAACACGGTGGTCAAGACTTACCCGGCAATCCCAGGAGGCGACCCAAGATCGTACCCGAGCACTGGCTCTGCCGTTCTCCTGCCATTGAAGAACCTAGAAGCCATTGACGTTGAGGCCGAGGTTCTGGTGTGTGGCGGTGCACCGAGAGGAGCGTACGAACAAGCATGGAGGAGGAACAACTTTATAAAAGCACTCAACACATGTGCAAGAATCAGGATTACGGATCCGAACCCGCAATGGGTGGTGGAGTCGATGCCTCAAGCGAGAGTCATGGGGGATATGACACTTCTTCCGAACGGAGATGTTCTGATCATCAATGGCGGCGCGTCCGGAACTGCTGCGTGGGAGCTTGGTCGTGATCCAATCTTTGCTCCGGATCTTTACCGTCCTGATAACCCGGTCGGATCAAGATTCGAGACGCAAAACCCTAACACCATCCCGAGAATGTATCACTCCACTGCCGTTCTACTCCGAGATGGGAGAGTTCTTGTCGGAGGCAGTAACCCACATGCCTTCTATAACTTCACCGGCGTTCTATTTCCGACAGAGCTAAGCTTAGAAGCTTTCTTGCCATCGTATTTGGACCAACAGTTCTCGAATCTTCGTCCAATGATAACATCGCCCAAATCTCAAGTCAAGATCAAGTACAACATGAAACTGAAGCTGAAATTCACCGTGTCGGGAGAGGTCAAGAGCCCGGTGAAGGTGACAATGGTGTTCCCGTCTTTCACGACTCATTCCTTCTCGATGAACCAGAGGGTTCTGGTCTTGGATAACATCAAAACACCTAAGATATGGGATTTCTTCAACTTTTTGAGAAAAGGGAAATCAACATCGACATACGAAGTGGAGGTGAAAACGCCGAGATCGGCGAATATAGCACCGCCTGGTTATTACATGATGTTCGTCGTGAATCAAGACATTCCAAGCGAGGGCATTTGGGTGCAGCTTCAATGATCTTCATTCATTCCGTGTACGCTCTTTTATGGAATGTGATTTTCGTTGTTTTGAGTTTGCTTCTTCTAATGATTTGAAAGAATTGTATTTAATTTGTAAGAAAAAAGGGTGAAAGATGATAATATGAAAAATATGATTTCGTTATGGAAATTGATTAACGTTTATTACGCTGTTTGATTTTGATACATAATAACTAGGGGTAGGCATGGTCGTTATACCGTCTTGGGGTTTTACATCTTTTTTTCATAAATCCTTTTTCATCTTTGCTTTACAGTGAATTTGAAAAATTGGAAAGATATTTTCGGCTGATAGCAAATAAATTCAATGTGTATTTTTGTTATTTAAAAAAAAAAACTATGGATTGAGCCAACGTTTGGGTTAAAGGATAGTAATTTAAATTTACTTTTGGGCTAGGCTTTTGGATAAAAGAGGCCAAATTACTCGGCCCATTTATAAAAATCCTTTAAATGTATGGGTTTTTTTTAAAAAAAAATTAGACAGACGCATAGAATTTACCAGTTTCATGATCATCTCTCTCTCCCTCTCTCTCTCGTCATTTCTTTCCCGTTCTTGTATTCATCGGAGGCCGGAATTTTCTGTCGCCGGTAAGTGTTGTTCGTTCTTAAAACTTCAAACTACCGATAAATTTTAGATTTCAAGCTCTTAGGATTTTCTCTTTGTTCTTAAACGCATTCGATTTTGAATTTTGAATTTTGAATTTCAAATTTCAAATTTCAAATCTCTTTCCTCCCCCATCTTCTATTTTTTACTTCTACTGCAGCGACTGTTGTTCCATTGAGATCATGCTCGGGTCATAGTCGAGACACCAGAGTTGATAGAACTGCCAAAAGGTATCAAGTGAACCCTGAAATCTGAATCTTCTTGGTTCAGAGTATCCCGTCCGATTTTGTTGCGTGCAATAATAGTCCTAAGATGCATACGTCGAATGAAATGATGTCTTATGTAATGAGGTATTTTTTCTTTATTTTATTATTGAATCTATCCTATGTTTCATCGGTGATTTAGTACGAAAGATGAACATATAATGATTATGTATCTCTTCCAGGTGTGACAAACCCTGAACAGAAGATCGTTTTACAATTCTACAAATTCATTTAGGCTTGTGACCCCAAGAGAAACGTATATACAATGTTTAATTTAAGCATTATATGCTACTCTGCTTTTCGGGTTAGTACATATTTGAAAGGTTATTGACTTTGTTTATGACTTTCTTCTTCAGTAAAGCTTCACCATGGAAGGATTAAGCTTCCATAACTGATGACGTCTGGTTAGTAGTTTCTTTCTTTCTCTTCAATTATTTTTGGTATTCCCACTTCAATCACACATAATTGTTCTAAGAAAATTTTATCGTCTTTTCTTGTCGCAAGAAATAAATAATTAAATAATTGTAATTATATATTGTGTTTAGTGGACCAATGGTATAGATTTCAATTCCTGAATTTCGGATGAAAAACTCAATAGGGATTTCATGGGAGTCCTTTTAATGTATTCGATTTTGGGTTTTGTTTCAGCAATGTTCTTGGTGTCTACATCAGATTCTAACTCAGACTCCCAAAGAACGAACATGTCAAGAATGGTGTTTTATGTCATGAACACGCCGGAGGAGATAAGTAGAACCTCATCATTATCATTCACATTTGCATCATCATCGTCATCATTAACATCTGCATAATTAACATGGCTTTCGCATTATCATCATCATTAGCATTTGCATCATTAACATGGCATCTGTTGCATCATCACCATTAGCATTTGCATAATCACATCACATTATATCATAATTATCACCATACAAATAACAACACATCATCTCATATACCGAAATCATCACCATATGTAACAGCACATCAAATCATATCAAAATCACCACAAAACGCATAAGAACACATCATCTCATACATCAAAATCATCTCCATATACGTAACTACACATCAAATCATATCAAAATCATCACAAAACGCGTGACAACATATCATCTCACAAATCAAAATCATCACCATATGCGTAACAACACATCAAATCATATCAAAATCATAACAAAACCCATTACAACACATATTCTCATTTATCAAAATCACCACCATATGCGTAACAACACATCACATCATATCAAAATCATCACCATATGCGTAACAACACACCATCTCATATATCAAAATGTTCACCATATACGTAACAACACATCAAATCATATTAAAATCATCACAAAAATGCGTAACAACACATCATCTCATTAATCATCACCATGTGTGACAACGCATCATATCATATTAAAATCATCGTCGTATGCATAACATCATCGCATCATCATTTGCATATTCATCATAGCGTAATGCATATGCATCATAATATCATCATACCATATTTGCATATGCATCGTAACATCATCATTTGCATATGCATCATCACATCATTTCATCATTATTTACATATAGATCATAATACCATAGCATCATATTTGCATATGCATCAACATCATAACATCAAAGGACAAGATATAACATCATTTGCATATGCAACATGATAATTTATCCAACATTCTTCCTCTCGTTGCAACATCTCAAACGACGAGAGACCATGTCAAAAGAGCCTTTTGGAGCGTTGACACCATGGCTTGCCTATATCCTTTGGAGTTTTCTTGATATTTTGCATACTGACCTCTAGTTGATTATGTGGCATAAATCTTGATTCTTGTGTAATGGAGATAAAACTTAGGAAATGGGTGGATAATTTGTTTTTGTTGTTGGAGTGGCTTGTGTTCGGTTTTCTTCATCAGATCATAATTGTCTTCTCAGGTTTGTCATGGTTGCTCCTTTTCCCCCCTTTCCATTAACTTCGCTAGTTCTTATTTTTAGTACTTTTGTGAAAGCAGTTTATTATTGTGCAATCACATTGTTTTTGAAGTGTAATAATATTATGATAATGTTATTCGTGTGACTTTTCTTTCTTCAATGTTTTCTACAGCCGAGTAGACAGCCCATCACATGAAGTAGAGATTCAACGTAAGAACAAGGTGGAGCTGCCTAACTAAGGATATTAGGTTATCATGTTAGTTCCATTACCAGCCACTTTTACATGATCGGTTTTTCATCAGTTTTGTAGTCTAACGATCAATTCTGTACAGGAGATATAAGATGGTTTGAGTGTCCCAACAGAATCAAGGTCATAGTTGAGAGACCATTGGAGAGCTGGTAGAACTGCTGACCTCACAGACAATGGCAATAAGGTATCAAGTCAACACTTAAATCTAAATCTTCTTTGTTAAGAATATCCCATTTGTTGTAGTTGCGAGTAATAATGGTCCTAAGATGTTGCTCATACGTGAAATGAAATGATATATTATATAACCAATTGTCTTTCACGGTTTCACCTGATTAGAAAAGATATTGGAAGGGCTCACATCAAAATCGAGATCTCTAGATCTTCCATGTCAATGCAACAATTCTTGGATGTAAAATCTCCGCTTCTCATTCATTTTTGTTTCTCTTCATAAAATTATTACTTGTTAAATTGATATTGTCAGACCAATCTTATGATCTCAACAATATGCTCTCTCCCCCTCAAGTGCATGAACAAAAAGTTAGGTGATGGAAAAGGATTGAAATTTCTGAGAAAGACAGAAAATCGTACTCTGTTCTTCTTATTCTTTCTTCTTTGCTTGCATAAATATATATATATGTATACATCTAATGGCTAGAGAGAAGAAAAAATATTGCAGAATATACAATTGACTATTAGAAGGAAAGTTCTAGAAGATTTGGTGGTCTAATTGTCGTGTTTTCCTTTCTTGGTTCTTGCTGGAATAATTTGGTCTTTTCCTTTCTTGGTTGTTGTTGGAATAATCTGGTGTTTGCTTGATTATGTGAGTTGTCATAGTCTGCACTTGCTGTCGTCATTTATGGACTTCGTCTGCTGTAGGTTCTTGGTCTGCTACAGCTTCTTCTTCATCTGCGATCAGGTCTTCATCAACATTGGTAGTATCGTCTCCTCTAACAGTGCAGACATTGTTTTCCTGAAGAAATAAGCTCTAAACTAATAATTTTGGTTGGTAATATCTTCAAGTATCTTTGGCGAGAAATTTCAGGTAGACAACCATTTGATGTGCTCATATGTTTCTTTCTTTTATTAATTATTGAATATATGTCTAATGTATGGAAGATATCATTTACCGGTCCTCTATTTCATCTGTGATTTTAGCATGCAAGGTGAAAAACAGTGATCCAAAGCTTAATTCGGCTGAAGAGAGGTTACTTATCATCTTTCAGGTGCTGCTTAATCTAATTCATATCGGCATTTGTTGTTTCTTTATATGTTAATTGACTTAAATTTTTTATTCTCTCGTTCTCTCAGGTGATGAAAATTGAATTGAAGATTGTTATACAGTTTTCCAACTCATCTGTGCTTACAACCCAAATAGAAAGGTACATACAATGTTACTCTACTTTGGCGGATTATACACATTTTCATGCGGCCGACCCCAAAGAAATTTGGGATTAAAGCGATATTGTTGTTGCTATTGTTGTAAACATTTTATATGTGCCTTTTTTCTTCAGTGAGCCTCTCCATGGAACACAAAATGTAAAATTTTTACATTGATTTGGTGTTTTTATGCATTGGTAAGACAACAAATGCATAATATTTACTTCTCGTGTGTTGTGTTTCCTCTTAGAAAATGATCACTTGTCAAGCTAAATGTTGCTGGTTTATTCTTATGATTGTAACAGTTTACTCGTATATCATGGAATAAGACTGTTTTTTTCTGTTCTTTTTCTTTGGCTCTTAGGATTGCAGAAGACATGTGTCCTCAAGTATGATTAGAGGAGAAATCTCAGGCGAACATTGGCATACTGGTTAGAAATCTGATCTATTAATATATTTCTTTCATTCGTTTTAGCATATTTGTATCTCCCTGCAAATACAAATTTTCTATTTTAGAGGTATGTTTTTCACAAAATGTTAAACAGGCGATGAGGTATGTGGTCCATCAAGGGTCAAGAGCTTTTAAACAAATGGTTTATCGAAGTTCATGGTTTTGATGAACTTAATGGAATATCTGGCAATTTACTCACACAAAAATGGGTACTTATCCATTCTTCTTTTAGATATAGCTAGCTGAATTTGTAATGTCATTTCATTTTGATTTGTTTTATGTCTACTAACTTGTCTGATTGTCTCAAGTTTGACAAAATAGAATTGAAGATTGTACAATTGCTCAAAACGGCTTAGTTATCAACCGAAAGAAAAGGTATAAACTATTATATACACAAGTGGATACATATCTAATTTGAGCGTATTGTTTGCACTAGATTGTGTTGCATTGTCCTCATTAGCTGTTTTTTTCTTTTCTTATTTATTTTTTTCACTTCTCTCAGAAAAAGTACATAAATATTTTAGAGGTCAATAGGTTTACATATGCTTTCTTCCTAAATGTGCCTCCATGGAAGGAACAAGCTCCAATCCGATGACTCTGGTTTTTATACTTTGTTCAACCCATTTCTATAGTTGTTAGTAGTTTATACATTTTTATCTTTTTTAGACAGCCCATCACATGAAATAGAGATTCAACGTAAGAACAAGGAGGAACCGCCTGACTAAGAAAATTAGGTTATCAGGTTAGTTCTGTTACCAGCCATTTATACATGATCAGTTTTTCATTAGTTTTGTAGTCTACCGATCAACTTTTTACAAGAAATATAAGATGGTTTGAGTGTCCCAACAGAATCAAGGTCACAGCTGAGAGGCCATTGGAGAGATGATAGAACTGCTGACCTCAAAGACAATGGTAATAAGGTATCAAATGAACACTTAAATCTAAATCTTTTTTGTTAAGAGTATCCCGTTTATTTTAGTTTGCGAGCATTAATGGTCCTAAGATGTTGCTCATACGTGAAAATATTGATGTCTTACACCTGGTAGGAAAAGATATTGGAAGGGCTCACATCAAAATTCAGATCCCTAGGTCTTCCATGTCAATGCACCAATTCTTGAATGTAAAATATCGGCTTTTCATTCTTTTTTTGTTTCTCTTCATAAAATTATTACTTGTTAAATTGATATTTTCAGACCCTTCTTATGATCTCAACAATATCTCTCTCCCCCCAGTGCAGACATTGTTTTTCTGAAGAAACAAGTTCTAAACTGATCATTATGCTTGACTATATCTTCAGGTTTGTTTGGCGAGAAATCTCAGGTATACAGCCATTTGATGCGCTCATACATTTCTTTCTTTTATTAATTATTGAATATATGCCTGATGTATGGAAGATGTCATTTACGAGTCCTATATTTCATCTGTGATTTTAGCACGCAAGGTGAACAAACAATGATCCAAAGATTAATTCGGCTGAAGAGAGGTTACTTATCATCTTTTTGGTGCTTCTTAAGCTGATTCATAGTGACATTTTTTGTTTCTTTATATGTTCTTTAACTTAAATTTCTGATTCTCTCGTTCTCTCAGGTGATGAAAATTGAATTGAAGATTTGTTATATAGTTTTCCAACTCATCTGGGTTTACAGCCCAAATAGAAAGGTACATACAATGCTACTCTACTTTGGTGGGTTATACATATTTTCATGCAGCCGATCCCAAATAAATTTGGGATTAAGCGATATTGTTGTTGTTGTAAACACTTTGTATATGTCTTTCTTCTTCAGTGAGCCTTTCCATGGAAGACAAGATGTAAAACTTTTGCCCTGCTTTGGAGTTGTTATGAATTGGTAAGGCAACAAATGCATAATACTTACCGCTTGTTTATTTTGTTTCCTCGTAGAAAATTATCATTTGTCAAGCTAAATGTTGTTAGTTTAATCTTATGATTGTAACAACTTACTTGTATATCATGGAATAAGACTGTTTTTTTCATATTCTTTCTCTTTTGCTCTTAGGATTGCAGAAGACATGTGTCCTCAAGTATGATTTGAGGAGAAAACTCAGGCGAACATTGGCGTACTGGTTAGAAATGTGATCTATTCATATATTTCTTTTCATTCGTTTTAGCATATTTGTATCTCCCTACAAATACCAATTTTCTGTTTTAGAGATATATCTCATAGAATGTTAAACAGACGATGAGGTACGTGGTCTGTCAAGGAACAAGAGCTTAAACAAATGGTTTATGGAAGCTCATGGTTTTGATGAACTTAATGGAATATCTGGCAATTTACTCACACAAAAAGGGGTACTTATCCGTTCTTCTTTTGGGTATGGCTAGCTGGATTTGTAATGTCATTTCATTTGTGATTTGTTTTATGTCTACTAACTGGTCTGATTCTCTCAGGTTTGATAAAATGGAATAGAAGATTGTACATTGCTCAAAAGGCTTAGTTGTCAACCCAAAAAAAGGTATAAACAATGTTACACACAAGTGGATACATGTCTAATTTGAGCGTATTGTTTGCACTATATTGTGTTGCATTGTCCCCAGTAGCTGTTTTTCTTTTCTTATTTATTTTTTTTGTTTCTCTGTGAATGAGTATATAAATAGTTTAGAGGTCAATGATTTTACATTTTCTTTCTTCCTAACCGAACAAGCTCCAAACCGATGACTCTGGTTTTTGTAGTTTGTTCGACACATTTCTATAATTGTCAATAGTTTATACATTTTTATCTTTTTTTATACAGCTCATCACATGAAATTGAGATTCAACGTAAGAACAAGGTGGAGCTGTCTGAGAAAGGAAGTTAGGTTATCAGGTTAGTTCCGTTACAAGCCATTTTTACATGATCTGTTTTTCATCGGTTTTGTAGTCTAACGATCAACTCTGTACAGGAGATATAAGATGGCTTGAGTGTCTCAATAGATTGGGGTCATAGTCGAGAGACTCGGACCATTGGAGAGCTGATAGAACTAATGGTCTCAAAGACAATAACAATAAGGTATCAAGTGAACACTTAAATCTAAATCTTCTTTGTTAAGAGTTTCCCGTTTGTTTTAGTTTGCGAGTAATAATGGTCCTAAGATGTTGCTCATACATGAATTGAATTGATGTCTTATATAACCTATTGTCTTTCACGGTTTCACCTGATAGGAAAAGATATTGGAAGGGCTCACATCAAAATTGAGATCTTCGGATCTACTATGTCGATGCATTGAAAGCTAGTATGTATAATCTTCGCTTCTCATTCATTCTTTTTTCTCATAAAATTATTACTTGTTAAATTGATGTTGTTATGATTTTAAGTTGGAGCACACTGGCGTACTAGATAGTCTTGTGTTATGCGCATACATTGCTCGAACTCCTTAGGCTACAACCAAAAGAAATGTATAAACCGTGAGCATATTTTTCTGCACTAGAATTTTAGTAATTTTTCATATCTTAAACGGAATGCATAAACAGTCTAGAGGTTAATGATTTTGCATATTTTCTTCTTCAGTGAGCTTCAGAGGAAGAACCAAGCGCCGAACCGATAATTTTGGTCAGCCATGCCTTCGTGTTTGATTAGCGGAGCTAATATCAGGTAGATAGGCATTTGATGCGTTTATATATTTCTTCCTTTTAATCTTTATTTCAATAGCGTTTTTATCCTCTGTTTCGTCGGTCAGTTAGTAAGAAAGATGATCATGCAATGATTGAGAATCTCTTTCAGGTATGACGAAAACAGTACGGAAGATGGTTCTACAATTCTGCAAACTCATTTGGGCTTACGACCCCAAGAGAAAGGTACATACGAGTGTTTTGTTTGAGCATTGTATGTTACTCCGCTTTAAGGGTTAGTACATATCTTAAAGGGTTACTGATTTTGTTTATGACTTTCTTCTTCAGTGAAGCCTCGGCATGGAAGGGTTGGTTAAGCTTCGATAACTGATGGCTTCTGGTTAGTAATTTCCTCTCCACTCTTCAAGTATTTTTTTGTCTCAAGACACAAATAAATAAATATTTGTAATTGTATAGTGGACCAATGGTATAGGTTTCAGTTCAAACTCGATAGGGATTTCGTGGGCGTCCCTCCCTTTTAACGTATTGGATTTTGGGTTTTGTTTCAGGCAATGTTCGTGGTGTCTACGTTAGATTCTACCTCAGACCACCAAATGACGAACGGATGAAGAATGGTGTTTACGTCATGGGCACGCCAAAGGAGGTAAGTAGACTTCATCCTCCTCCTCATCATTCACATTTGCATCATCATCAGCATCTGCATCATACTCATCATCATTAGCATCTGCATCATCATCAACATTTGCATCTATCATCATCATTAGCATTTGCATCATCAGCATTGCATTTGCATCTGCATCATTAGCATTGCATTTGCATCATCATCATTAGCATTTGCATCATCATGGTTTTGCATTTGCATCGCATCACGCCATCATAAAACATGTACACCGTCGTCGTCAGCATCTTGACATCATCGTACCACCTCACATCTCCATCATGAGCAATAACCTTACCATCATCACAACATATCATCATCATCATCGTCAAAATCATATCTTCATCGTCGACAGCAACAACACCGTATCATTATCATAAGCATCGGCAACATCGCATCATATTTTCATTAAAAAAACATCGCATCATGTCAGCAGCACCATGGCATCATCGCTTCGAACCACCATCACTAACATCGTCGCATCCATCACTAGCATCAACATTGCATCATATCAGCAGCATCATCGCTTCGTACTACCATCACTAGCATCGTCACATCCATCAGTAGCATCAACATCACCTCGTATCAAAATCATCACCATACGCGTAACAACACATCATCTCATACAAATCGTCATCATCATCATATGCGTAACAACAAGTAACCTCATAAACCTTACCAGAAAAACACATCACCTCGTATCAAAATCATCGCCATTCACATTAAATGAATATCGAAGAGAATATCTCGTATATTTTGTTCTTGTGTTGTGTGTCCAGTTTCTCTCCCCGTGTTTCTTAATCTTTTTATTATGGACTTAAACTCTGTTTATAGCATAAATATTCATCTGAAAGACGATATTATGGGGACACTTAGTGAGACTTAAACTTGAGATTCCTTTAGGTCGGTTTTTTATCTGTATTTGTAAGAACTCTATTATTATTAATAAAATTTATATTTTTTAAAATATTGGTTATATTATATTTTCTTTACATTAGATTCATGAATACATTTATAAAATATTTACATCTATTCAATTTTTTTTATTTTAGTTCCAATTTGTATATTAATATAAAAAAATCACACAAGCATGGTAACCATGAACATATACTTGAACAACAGCATAGAACTGCTTTACAGCAAAACCAACCTAATTCGTATTCCACCAATCCAATTCGTATCTCCATCTAATGGGATGATGGAAAAGGAAATATATTAGGCCATCTTACCCCTGCTTACCCCTATATTTTAATGTAGAAAGATGAATTCGAATTCGCAACCTCAGACTACACTGGTAAATAATTTCACTGTTAAGGCAAGTCGGCCCAACTGCTCTACAGCAATGAGCTTCTCAATACGAGATGGAACCCAAAACCCAACTCTTGGATTTGAATATGGGCTTTGACCCGCAATTATTCATACCTCCGGCCCGGATCTATTGAGAGAGAGAAAACGTGTACAGATCGTCCAGTTGAAGTATTTCAATGGATCATTTACATATAGTATACAGTCAGTCAGTTTATTAATATTCGATCATTTCAAAAAGGATAAAAGTGCTATCGATAAAATTCAAGATCCAAAAAACGATGTTAAAAACAAATCTATGCTGTATTATCATCACGGCCAACGTTTGTGCTGATACAAGGGGGATTAAGCACGCTCTCCGCGAATTCGACGAGCCAGTTGGATGTCTTTGGGCATGATGGTGACCCTCTTCGCATGGATGGCGCACAGATTCGTGTCCTCGAATAGACCCACCAAGTAGGCTTCTGCCGCTTCCTGAAGAGCCAACACCGCATGGCTCTGGAACCTCAGATCCGTCTGTTCATTCACACATCAAAACCCATGTTAAGATACTCAATATCCCACAATTTCATACCCCAGTTCGATCGGAAACTGCATGGTCCTTTCACGAGATTCAGTCAATCACTGATGCTTGATTCCAATCCCAAACCCATCGTGAATCTCTTGAAAAGCTTTCCCAATGCAATCAGATTCACAACCCAATTCGATCGAGCTCAAGATCATATCACGAGAATCAGACACAAACTATAAGCTTTTTGAATCCTTGATGATTGATTGCAGTTTCCAATCTTAAAAAGCTTTCCCAAAGCAGTCAGATAGATAAGCCCAAATCGACTGAGTGAATCCAGACAGTGTTCGTCAGCTTGATTACGATACTGGGCATGGTTACGAGTATCAGAATTCAAAAAATCTGATGGATGCATAGAAAGAAAATTACCTTGAAATCCTGGGCGATTTCACGAACAAGCCGCTGAAAGGGCAATTTGCGGATCAAAAGCTCCGTACTCTTCTGGTACTTGCGGATTTCACTGTTTCATTATCAATCGCATTGCGTTTAGTTATGTTTCAATCAAACAACAGGACGTGAATGTGAATCTCATGACAATCCACGATAAGAAACATGAGGTTACCGTAGAGCGACTGTTCCAGGACGGTAACGATGAGGCTTCTTCACTCCTCCGGTGGTCGGAGCAGATTTCCTCGCCGCCTGCGTTACGAATTCCACGGAAATCATAAACCCTAACTCAAAAATTCCCCAAATTTAACCCTAACGCCGGCAATGAATCGAAAACAATACCTTGGTTGCGAGCTGCTTCCTCGGAGCCTTTCCTCCTGTCGATTTACGAGCGGTTTGCTTCGTACGAGCCATATCTTCCCAGACAATAACAACACTAGCTTGAGAATTTCAAAGACAGCAAACGAAAAATAAAATTCAAATCAGACAGGCCGCGGGCGCGCTCATCGATGAAGAATCAAACCAACAAATCGAAAAGAGACAGAAACAATAGCATCAATGGAAGATCCTTACCTTCGTAGAAGATTGCAGAGAACACGAAGATCGCAAATCTCAAACTTTACCGAATTTGGGAATAGTGAGAGGAAAATACGAAGGACGGGGGAAATATATTGGTGAACGTTAAGTCGGTTTATTGTGGGAGAGATTCATGAGAAACGTGAGACGTGGGATTAGAAATTTTCGACGGTCAGGATTCACTGAGGAAAATGAAGCAAGGACATGAGGATCCGCGTCCTCGAATCCTATTGGTTGTTTATTTGCTGATGGAATGTGTTTTATGTTATCATAATCCAAATGGTTGTAAGGTGTTTTTTCATTAATTTAATCAAAGGATGGAAGGTGTCACAGAAAAAGCAAAGCGATTGAAATTACTGACAGGTTAGTAGTTGAAGAACAGTTTCTTGTCCATGACAATTAAATGATTAATATAAAGTTAAACCATTAACAAATAATACATAATCATTTCAGTCACATAATCTTGCGTTTTTACATATCCTTACTATTTTGATTATATTCAAACTTAAATTTAACAACATTTTTTCAGCAATTTTTTTTTATAAAATGATAAAAGAAAATTTGAAAATTAAAAGTGGAAAAAAATATATTGAATAAAATTTAATTAAGATAAAATGCACACGTCACCCACATGCTGTCTTTAGGTGAACTAACATCATATGAACCCCAATAATGTCATGTGGATAGAAAAAATTATGAGTGGAAAACCCCCCAATAATTTGATGAATATTTTTCGATAATTTGTTAAAAAAAATATAGTATTTTAGCATGGGATTTGTAAAATAAATTTGACAAACCGACGAATATTTTTATTAAATAAAAGACAGAAATATCTTTTAAATACAGTTAGATAATGCCAAAATACCTAAATAAGTCAGATATTTTATATTTATTAACCAAAAAAAGATATAAATATAAATAATATTATTTTCTGTGATAAATTATAAAGATGAAAAGAGATATTGTTGCCGTCTAATTTAATAGGTTCACGAGTCAGCTACAACTCAATTAAAAAAGCTGAAATTTCAACATACAATGATCAATAAAAATCATAAAAATATTTAAATTAAATAAAATGTGAATAAAAACTCTATAATGTAATTTTCAAATGAAAGTATTACTGAATAATTAGCCTTTAGGCATAAAAATAAAAATGCTAGGTTAATTATCCAAATATAAGATAACAGAGAACAAAAAGAAAAAGAAAAAAAAATAGGGGGGAAAGTGTCACAAGAAGGGATCTGAGAGAGAACGTACTTTCTTAGTTCTCACACTTCAACGGACAGAACATAACACCTAAGTGGCGGATTCCAAAGCAGAGACTAAATCTTAATTTTTACACAAGTGCTTGAGATCCGCAGTTCCCCACGACAGCTTCTCTCTCTATCGAAAACCACCGTGGAAGAAGAAGAAGCGTCTCGAAGAAGACGACGAGAAAATGGGAAAGTCTCCGGCGTATTGCTTCCGAATCATCACTTGTGGCGGCGGAGATGGCGGCGCCGACGATCCTACGGCCAAAGAAGCCGGCGATCTCAACTCCTACGAGGTATTTTTCTGGTTTCCCTCTCTCTCTCTCTCTCTCTATTTGTCGGTATCTGTGATCTTACATGTTCGGATTCTTGTCTGCATTTATTGTTTTTTTTTATGTCGGAGCTAAGTAGATGCTGGAGTTTCTATTTTGAGATCTGGTACAACGTCTACTTTATTGTTCCTACTTTGGTGTTATCTGCATCTTGTCTGAAGAATTCGGACATCATCGATTTGAATCACAAAAGTCTTGTTCAGTTCATTCAGACCAGCCAACATGTTTACGAGATCTTCTCCGTTTTGATCCATTGAATTTCATAGTTTTGTTTTCACCTTGTTTTTGGGATGGTTAAACACAATTTTTTCATGGATCATCTTTGTTTTGGATCTAGAACAAGAGCTCCAGTGGCAATCGTGGTTGGAGTTTCCGGAAGAAATCTGGAAGGCACCGAGGTTTAAACAGCACCACTGTGTCTGAACCCCCTGCGGTGACACGGACCAGAGAAACTCTGGAATCTGCTCTCCTGAAACCTTCGTCTCCCGACAATGGCAATGTGTCTGAAAAGCCGTTCACGGATCAATGTACTGACGACAAGAGCCAGTTACCGGTTAAGTACTTGGCAGAAGAACCGACTGAAGAGAAACCCCGAGTGATTGTTCCGCAAGCTGAGCAGCCTATGGGGGACAAAACCGAGTTTTCGGCTCCGAGAGTTAAGGAACTGGTCGATGACAGAACTGAGTTGCCTGTTCCTGTGGAATCAAGAGAGACCGAGGTCGAGGACGATGGGAATGAAATTGAAAAGGAAACCCAATCACAAGTAAATTCAAAAGGATCAGATGTTGGAGATGCTACAGTTATAGAGAAAGATTCTGGTTCCGAGGTTCACATTGCTTCTAATCTCGATGTTCAAGAACCCGAGACCGATGATGTGATCATGATCAGAAAAGAGAACGATGAAGAAGTCGATGATGACAAAATAGATGAGTCTGCTATCATTATCATTCAAACTGCCATCCGTGGATTTCTGGTATCATCATGTTTTCATTATGATCTTGCCATTTTGCGTATTCTTGTTCTTTTGGATACCTCGAAGTTTCATATACAATAATAGCATTGTACAATTAGGCAACCACCGATGAAAACCCATATCTAGGGAAGATCTGATTATGAATGCTCTTCCTCATTGTTGATTTATGTCTGAATAGGCTCGGAGGAAGCTTTTCAAGCATAAGAAAGCTGTTAAATTGCAAGCTGCGGTCCGTGGGCACCTGGTTAGGAGGCAGGCCATGGGATCCCTTCGTTGTGTCCAGGCTATTGTCAAAATGCAGGCTCTGGTCCGTGCCCGTCAGTCCATCCAGCATAGAATCCATGCTTCAGAAATCTCGGTAAAAGCTTTGCGATCATTTGATCATGTTTCATTGCTCGGAACTCTCGGGTTACGATGAGAATCTTGAACCGGTAAAGGGTTTTCTTGTTTCAGGATAAGACTGACGAGATGAACAGAACGAAAAAGCTGCTCCAAAACAAGTTTGCTCGTCATGTATGTTCAAATCTCGGTTCTCGTTGGATGTTTTCTATGGTTTATACTGTTTTACTCGGTTCTGGTTGGATGTTTTCTATGGTTTATACTGTTTTACTTACTGAACACTCGTATCGATATCGTTTTTGTGGTTAAAAGCTAATGGAGTCAGCGCCCAAGACCAGACCTGTTAATCTCAAGTGTGATCCGACACAACCGAGTTCTGCTTGGAACTGGTTGGAGAGGTGGATGTTTGTGTCATCGCCTGACAAGACGTCGAAACCGAGTTTGTCTGCGGAAGAACAGCAATCTGTAGCTCAGCCCGAAGAAGTACCACAGTCTCACAATCATTTGGAAACAATTCACCTCGAGTTAGAGACTGAAACTGAGAAGAATCTGCCAAGTGATGAAGCGAGTGAAATAGAAGTGGGTCATGTGGAGATATCCGAGGCAGAGGAGCCCGAATCAGCGAAGGAATGGCCAGAAAATTCTCTCATGCGGAAACCGAGCAATCCCTCTTTCATTGCAGTGCAGTCGAAGTTCGAAGAGTTATCTTCTTCGTCGACAGGCTCAGAGAGACCGATGGCTTTGTCTTACAAAACCGAGACAAGTTCATCGGTGGCTGACAACATGGAAACTCGAAAAGAGCTTAGCATTGCAGAACAGGATGTCACCCGAGCTCGGCTTGATTGTACTGACCTCTCTGTTCCTTTGACTCTCGAAACAGCCGAGAAGAACTCCGAAACCGGGCCTGCGGATTCGGGTAATGAAGCAAAATTCCCCGAGAAAGGAACCTTCGAAACTGACACGGGAGAGGTTACGAGTATCGAAATTAAGGACCTTGAGGAGAAACTCGATCAAGTAGAAGAATCTGTCGTGTCAGAGACTCAACAGAAACCGATAATAAGTACTCCAGATGCTAAGAAGCATCAAGAACCGTTATCGCCGGAATCTGCGTCCCCGATGACAATTCCCGAGTCCCAAGCAACACCGGCCAGCCAAGCATCCTCGTCGGTTAAAGCCGAAAAGGACAAAACCCGAAAAAGCGGGTCAGGTCAGAAGCGGAAGGTGAGCAAGAAGATGATGACGTCAAGCCCAAACCATGAATCTGGTGATGCAGGAAGTGCGGAACAAGAAACCGGGAAAGATCAGAGGAGCGGGAAGAGGAGAAACTCGTTCGGGTTTGATCAAGAACCGAGGGATAGCGGTAGCGGGAAGAGCTCTCTCCCGCGGTTCATGCAGCCGACAGAGTCGGCAAGAGCCAAGGTTCAAGAACATAACTCCCCGAGATCGAGTCCCGATGTCCACGAGAAAGACGGTTCCATCAAAAAGAGGCATTCGTTGCCTGGTCCGAACGGAAAACAAAGCTCTTCTTCGCCTAGAATCCAACGCTCTGCATCGCAAACAACAAAAGGTAATGCATTGACATCTACATCTCTTTCGTTCTGATCCCTTTAGTAGTTTCGATTCTTAGGGATTTTACGTGTTCTTGAATCGGGTACCCGAAAAATTCAGGTACTTGATCCATATCCGAAATTTCGGATGTCACAATTTGATACCCGTATTGGTATCCGAATGTTTCAGTATCTAGACTACGAATATCTGTCAATATTTCGATATTCATGGGTGTTCGAATTAGAAAAATACAGTTTTATAAAAAAAAAAAATGGGTATCCAGATCAACTCAAAAACCCTAAATTGGCTGTACGGAATATCCGGGTTTCGGGTATTTATGCCTTACCCCTATCCTTGTCCTTAGATGGTCGACGTTGCTTGTTTACAGAGAGGAAATGGCAGAGGTAACACAGAGCAGTCGAAATCCAACGGAGAGGATTATTCGGATTCGGAGAAGAATTCAGACAAATACTTTTTTAAACTCTCTTGATGTTCTTCGTAATCAGACATGTGAGTGCCAAAAGTTCGCTAGTAGTAGGAAACATATTTGTACAGGTTCTCTCTCTCTCTCTCTCTCTCTCTTTTTGGGTTGTGGCAGAGAATTAATTGATTCTTCGGATTTGTTGAGTTTGATTTTGGTTTGTTTGTTTTTTTTTTCCGGACAGATCTGAAAGTGAAAGCTTGTTGTAGACAAATGATGTTTGAGTGGGGATATGCTTGATTTCGTTTCTCTTTTATTCCTTTTTAATCTGCTTATCTTCATTTCTATAACATCTGATTATTTTAGTGAATAACAATACGATTTTTTTTCAAGTATGGTGTAAATCCAATTTTAAAATTTTAATTAGAATAGTAATATTTTAGAATAAATATTTAAATCTGAAATTTATCAAAAAACCGACAGAAAATTAGTTAAAAATAGATACTGTAGAAACAATCAGTAATTAAATAAATTAAACATCATAATCTAGCCAGCTCATCATATTCGCCATCTCAGTTGCAAATCTTAGATTTTCAGTTCCGACTTTTTTTTTTGTCAGGACAGAGCCCCAGATTGAACCAATACACAAGAAACATATGTGTGTGTGTATATATATACACACACTCAAATTCTGCTACTGAGCTTCATTCTTAAACCGAGTTTCAGACATCCATTACTGTCTTACATAACCTTGGATTAGTTTCAGGTTCTGTCGGAAGGAACAATCCGACAGTCAAATAGGGTTTTCTTTTCATCTTGCAAATAAATCTAAGGGAACGAAGCCTTGACGCCTTGCATCCCCGCACTGTTCAAAAGCTTCATCCCTTCTTCACTCATCTGCTGAACTTCCGTCGGCGACAGTATCCTTATGCACCGTACACATCCCACAAACTCTCTGCATATACATATACATATATACATGTTTATATATCAGTTACTGTGCTTAACACTGCGGTCAAGTTCTTGGATTTGACAGATGCAGAGAAAGATGATGGAAGAAGAGAGACTTACTCCCACGGATCGTCCCCCACGAGTAGAACATCACTCTCGTAATCAACGTAAACAAGCTTCCATCCCGAGCCTTTCGGGTCAGTGAGCAGTCCCTCCAGTCCGAACATGCACTCGATTGCCGACTTCAGCTCTTCGTAGTTCCTGAAACTGGTTACGTCGATGGATCTCCCGACTGACCCGGCTTTTTGAACCTTTTGCCCACGTAAACATTCATCATGTCAGATCAAAAGAGACGAGCTTTATCGCCACAAAAACAGTGTTTTGTCGGCACGGCAAGCGAGAAAGGTCTTACCTTGGTGTACGTTCTCACTCGGGGAGCAGCCACTTTCGGCCACGAGCTCTTACTGTTCTGGAGCAGGCTGCTTTCGTCGAAATCGACGTTACTTGATGAAGTGCCAGTTCCTCCGGATGTATCCGGGAAATCTTGGCGAGAGAACGCCTGCGAGTCTGCGAAGCTTGCGGATGTGATTTGAGACTGGACATCTTGAACCGAGTTCGTGTTCCCGACCAAACAGCCAGAAGGGTTTTGGAAATCAGCCTCTTTTATAGCGCAGAAGTCGTCAAGAACCGCATCTGAGAGGGACGGATCGAGAATGTTGCTGTTTGCACTATTGCTCATACCGATGTTCCGACAAGCGAACAGGTCTTGCTGCATCAAGGGACTGAACTGGTCAAACTTGAAACTGTTCAACTGATTATGATCCCATATGTCGTGAAACAAGGATGGATTTGTTGAATCAGGCAAGATCGCTTGAGAAGAATCCTGTAATGGTGGCCTGTATGTTACGCCAAGAGACTGGAACGGAGACATTTGAGATGTCAACTCGTCAGCTTCCAGTAAAGGAGACAACCCGTTGAAGGAAATCGGCTCAGACTGAGGAGTGTATATCTGTTGGCTGATTTCCGAGCACGGATCAGCTTGTAAAGGATGCAAATCTGGCCTCTGGCTCAACCGGTTAGCTTTATCCTCATCGCATCCGATTACCGAAGTTACCTGACTTGCCTGTTCCATTGACTGTCCAGGTTCTTGCTTGCCTTTCCCCAAGGTAGAAGGCATCTGCTTTCCATGTTTTCCCGAGGCACTCATGTTCCGTGTGAGACTCTGCTGTGACGCACTCGTGTTCACAGGTAACTTGTTCTCTGATTGCACAATCTCTGGTTTCTGGTTCATGACGGGTTGCATAGCTCCATGACCGATAACAGCATTCTGCTGATGCATTGAAGACATGAATGCTGCATTCGGGTTCATGAGTTGGTCAGAACCAAAACCGGGCATATGCAGAAATCCGTTAGCAGCATCAGAAACACGGATGAGAGGCCGTTTGATCAAGCTTCCCCATTCTGTTTCACCTGCTGCAAAGATTTTACAACATTTTCTGCTTGTTAGTACCAAAAAGAATGGCACTGAAACTCAAGAAAAACACACGGGGGGAGGGAACACAGAAGTTACCGAGAAACGATGGATGAAATTGCCGCTTGAGCCCCGAAGTCAGAGAAGGAAAAAAGAAGAGACTTTCGGGTGTTTCGATATCCCAAGCACTGACCCTCGTCGGCTTATCGTTACATCCAGACTCATCCCATTCGACCTGAAGGTTTCGCCACTTGGAACCAGGCCATCTCAATGGATCCAAATCGCTGATACCAATGATGGTACCCATGTACCTGAATCCACATCCAAAGAGGGGATTAATGATTGATCAAGAACTTCGGGCCTTAACATGGAGAGATCAGACCAGTTTCACGGGATTTTAAGATATTACCTTCGTTTCCCCGACTCATCAGTTTCAAACATCATCCCGAACCTCATTCCGACAGAGAGTTGAGACCCGCATATCGCCTTGCGGTATTTAGACAGAGGGATCACAAACTCTGAAGGGCATGCTCTAAGAGAAAGAACCCGGGAAATTTTGTGAGAAGACACGTTATGAGATTTGAGAGAGCATGTTTTTTTTTTTTTGTGCTTTACCTTGGATTGTAGAAGATGGTGAAAGGTGTACGGTTGGCAGTTGCATGAGCTGCAGCTGCAAGAACACCGATGTGCATGCTGTCCGCCGAAAGAACAGAAGATGGAAGTGCTGTCTGTTGGCGATTTGCCCGCCTCACCCCTACCATCAACTGTGACTTTTCATCCCTTTTGCCCATTCATCAGACAAGATTTCACAATCAGAAGCTATACAACCAGAATACAGTTCCACAGACATGTATTCAAGACAAGAAGCCACCTGATGAACAAGACTGAATCCCCGGCTCTAAGTCTTTTCGAACCCACAAATAAGCTCCAACCCGTTGTCAGGAGGTGCCGTTTTGGCTGACCTGTTTCATGCAGGAAAGAAAATACAGAATCAGTATCAAGATTCAAGAAGATGAACGAAGTAACCGTAGCATTCAGCCATGTTCAAGGATTTTACCCCGGTATATATGGCGAAACGTCCATGTATGGTCATGCAAATCTCGCACTACCAGTTCTTGGGTCGGCGGCTGAGCATTATAGTCCTGTAGTATAAAACATAGCAGCAATGAAGGGAAAG